GAGACGAGTGGGAACGGAGCAACATAGGGTGGGAGCGCAGGACTGGAGAGACGGGACGGGCACGTGAGGGACGACGAGACCAAACGTGGGACAGAGGTGTAGGGTCAGGAGACAGCGGAGGGGACACAGGAGGGGAACGAGGAGGAAGACGGGCCGGAGACGAGTCCGGCGGCGGGAAAACAGGACCATAGACAGGAAGGTCAACAGGCGGTGGGGGAGACACCGGCGAGCGGTCAGGGGAGGGAAGGCCGAGCAGACAGAGAGCGGAGACCGGCGGCGACGACTGCTGTGGCTGCTGCGGCGGCTGGGCCGCGACCCTTGGACCGGCAGAACTCTCAACGGCAGCACCCCCAGAACCAACACCCCCAGAGCGAGAACTCCCTCCAGCACCAGCGGCACCCCCAGGCCCGCCGGGACAGACCACTCCAGGCGCGGCAGGACGAACACCCTCCTCGACGCCAGCACCCCTAGAGGCCAAGGGCGGCAGTGGCGGCGGCGGCTGCAGCGGCTGCGGCGGCGGCGACGGCAACTGTGGCAGGGAAGGCGGAGACACCGAGGAAGGGGGACGCGGCAGGGACGGACCGGGGGGACCACCAGAGTCAGCTGACTCCTCAACGGGGACAACCGACGGGAGGGGAGTGATGTGAGAGACACCAGACGGGGCAGGACGAGGCGGGAGAGGAGCAGGGGCTACCGGGGGAGAGGGAGCAAGGAACAGGGGCGGGGCAACCGGGAGACCTCGGTGAGGGAAGCGGCGGTAGAAGGAGACGGACTCGTCAAAGGTGACGTCACGGGAGTGGAGGAAGCGGTGAGACGGCGGGTGGTAGAAGAGCCAGTCAGACGAGTCCAGGGGGAAACAAAGGAAGACACAGGGGACAGTGCGGGCCGTGAGCTTGTTCGTGCCAGAGGCACGAACGTGAGCAAGGCAACCCCAGACGTGGAACGCAGACGCGTCACCGGGGGACCCGGTCCAAAGGAGGGTCGGCGAAACCTGCGGCCGCTGGGAGCGGGGCCACAGGTTAAGCTGGTGAGCAGCGTAGCGGACAGCGAACGGCCACATAAAATGGGGGGCATCGGCATGGATCATGGAGGTACGAGCCACCTCCATGACCAAACCGATGCAGCGCTCAGCAACCCCATTCTGCTGTGGCGAGTCCGGCAAGGTGTACGACTAGGTGATGCCCTCCGCACGACAGAACTGTCCAAGCCGACCGGAGGCGAACTCGCCGCCACGGTCAGAGTGGAGACACAACACGGGGAGACCGCGGTGGAGACGCGCAGCCACAACCCACGGGAGAAGAACGCCGGGCACGTCGGCCTTCCGCTCCAGGGGAAACACCGTGGTGTAGCGCGTGTAGTCGTCGACGAGCACAAGAAAGTTGCGCTCACCGCGTGGTCCGGGGACGGGGTCCGGGCCCCAAACGTCCAGGTGCAGGGTCTGAAGGGGGGCAGTAGCAGGGCGCAGCGAGGAGGAGTGAGGAGCACGGCGGAGCCGGCCCTCGACGCAAGGCGTGCACGGTGGCGCAGTCGAGGATGGGAGGGCAGGGAGCGACACGGGGAGGCCTAAGACCAGACCGTGCTGAGACATGTGACGCAGGCGTGGGAGAGCAGGGTGACCTAAGCGGTGGTGCCAGAGAAGGGACGGGTGAGTGAGGGACCGACACGAGCAAGCTGCAGCGACCTGGGAGGACGCACCAACCGGGGGGGAAGCGGTGTTGAGGGTAAACAGACCAGACACTGGGTCCCGGGGGAACGTCGCAAGAGGGGAACCTGAGACTGCCTCGGTACAAACAGCGAACCGCTCATGCCGAGGGAACGTGGTGGTGATGCCGAGGTCCTGAAGACGGCCGACACCAACCAGGTTCCTGGAGAACGAGGGAACGTGGAAGCCTGTAAGAGAGCCCGAGGGAACGGCTGGACAGGGAAGGGAAGTGGAACTGCGAGCGACGACAGGACCGGCAGAGGGGTCAACGAGGGAGACAACCGCAGGTGCAGCAAGCGGTGTGAGCGTGGACCGGTCACGGAAGAAACAGGCAGAAGCACCGGAGTCGAGAGTGAAGGACAGCGAGGCAGAGGCAGAGGACGGGGACGGGGCCGATGCAGAAGCTAGGCTAGGCAACCTAGGCAGTCCTACGCCTGACGCAGCAGGGGAAGCTAAGCTACAGAAGAGTGATACACCTAAACTAGAGTACAGAGGGTAGTAAGATCCAGCAACACTAGAAGCGTCAGCATTCAAAGCATGCAAAGCAGCACCTATCTGATCCATGTCTAGCTCAAAGATCGGCACGCCCTGGCGGAGCAGGCTGTGCGAGTCAGGGAGGTCCGGGGCCGGGCCAAAGCGACGACGAAAAAGATCGTCGAGGCGGCGGAAACAGCGGGCGGTCGGGTGCGGGCGGCGGCACAGAGTGCCGCGGAGAGGCCCGGTCTGAAGCTGGTACTGGCAGGTCACAGCACCGGAGCCGCTGGTAGACGCCAAGCTGCGCGGGCCGCCACCACGGCCACCGCCTCCGGAGGTGCCGGGCCAACCAGGCGGGAGACGAGCCCACGGCTGCGGCGGGTGCTGCTGGAACGGCGGCTGCTGCTGGGACGGCGGCTGCTGCTGGGACGGCGACTGCGGCTGGGGCTGGTTCTGCTGCGGCTGGGGCTGCTGCTCATGCCCACCGGTGGTAGTCCCCTCAGGCGGACTGCCGTCACCACCACCACTACCACCACCACCTGCGCCACCACCCCTACCTCCCTGGCGGCCACGGCCACCGCGGCGCGAGCGCTGCTGCGGGTGGACTGCAGCAGCCGTCTCGGTAAGAGGGGTCGCCGTGGCGACCGCAGTCGAAACGTCAGTGAACGTGCACTGGGAGGGGGCACAGCCGTGAAAGATAGAGACCGCCGACGCACCGCTCGACTGAGCGATAGTGCGCTGGCGAGTCTCAATCTCAGTGAGGGTGTCGACAAAGATGGTCAGGGTGAGGTCACCCGAGTGCTGGCTAAGAAAGTGGTCGCGAGCACTAGCGAGGCGATCTGGCAGGCGCATAGCGATAAAATAGAGCGTCACGCAGAAAGGAGGGGGGAGCGCAGTGAGCTGGGCAGCAGTGCTGGCAGTGCAATAGCGAGTCTCTAGGGCACGCAAGTGAGTGGCAAAGTCTGCGACAGTAGGGAAGGCAGCCAGGTCTGGGAACAGCATCGGAAAGAGCAAGCGGCCAGCAGAAGCGGAGGCAGGGGTGGAATAGCGAGCAATAACGGCGTCTAAATAAGCTTTGGCCGTTTCAACAGTAGCAAAACGCGAGCGCTCAGACATATGGAGGGCGTGCCTAATAGCAACCTGAGCTACTGCATCGCGTGAGTCCCAGACCGCACAGGCCAGCGCAGCAGTAGAGAAAGCCTCACGGTCATCAGAGGAGGGGTCAGCAGGGAGGGGAGTAGGTGCAGGGGGGCGGGGGAGCAAGCCATCAGCATGGACAACCTGAGAGTGGCCATCCTGGCACTGACCTGTAAGCTGGCGGCGGAGATCGGAGAGCCAGGCGGCGAAGTCAACCGCGTGGCCCTCAGCGTCCAGCCGGAGCACGAAGTCAGCCATCGTGCAGGGTCAGCGGCACAGCTCCTCAGCGACACAGCGGCACAGCTCCTCAGCGGCACAGGAGCACAGCGGCGCGGGGACACGGCGGCAGCACTCTCCAGTAGGGCAGCGGCGAGGCGCCCCAGCGCAGGCGAGCAGAAGACACAGGGCCCGAGAGGACACGGCAGGCCGAGCAGGCACAAGGACGGGATGGGCAGGCAGTGGGAGGGGCGGGGCCGGCGCGGGAGGCGGGCAGGTGCTCTGGGGCCGGGCTGGGACAGGGAGGGGCCAGGCTGGTGCTGCTGGGGCCGAGCAGCACTAGGAGGAGGCCGGGCGGGCGGGCGCTAACAGCAGGCGCGACATGGGCCAGCGGGCGCGACGAGGCCTAGGGGGCGCGACGGGGCCCAGCGGGCACGACGACGCCCAGGGGGGGCGCGACGGGGCGTAGGAGGCGCGACGGGGCCCAGGGGGGGCGCGACGGGGCATAGGAGGCGCGATGGGGCCTAGGAAGTGCGACGGGGCCCAGCGGGCGCGACGGGGCCTAGGAGGCGCGACGGGGCCCAGCGGACGCGATGGGGCCCAGGGGGGGCGCGACGGGGCCCGGCGGGCGCGACGGGGCCCGGCGCGACGGGGCCTAGGAGGCGCGACGAGGCCCGGCGGGCGCGACGGGGCCCAGGGGGGGCACGACGGGGCCTAACGAGCGCGACGGGGCCTAGGGGGGGCGCGATGGGGCCTAGGAGGCGCGACGGGCGGAAGCGGTAGGCGGGGGGATCCTAAGCTAAGCGTGATACCATGTTAACGTAGAAACGAATGAATGACTAGGAAGAGAAACATAGAACAAATACCAGTTGGTTGTACTCACTAGAAGCACACACCTAGTCTTGCCTATAACTTCTACATAGATAATATGTATAAGTTGACATTTACCTGGGGCCAGCTTTACAACAGCCAAGCTCTTGTATCCCTCGAGTTCTTCTGCTCTACCGTATGGTAAACGCTAAACTTCAGAAGTTTATTTACGGTTGGCAGAATTTGTTAGGAATGACAGATACGGTAGTACTTCATCAGCCAAACAGCCTTGCCTTGGTATTGCTACTACTACAGCTGCTCCTGCGGGCAGCCTGCCAGATCTGACATGCCTGCAGCACCTGTGTGCAACACCACAGCTACCTACCTACCACTAGCTTGTGGGTGGGAGTCATTCGTTCCGGGCAGGGCACCGACCGACCAGGCACGCTTGTGCCTTGGCCACCACTACTATACACCTGTTCCTGGGCAAGCAGCTGCACACACCTGGAGAAGCGCGGCATTAGGCGCACAAGTACTTTCACCCCACAATTGGTATGTGTGGGCTCCACAAGTACTTTCACCCCATGCTGAGCACTTTACTTTTGACTGCCAGCTTCTTCACTAATCCCACATTCTCTCCTTGCTTCATCAAACTCAAATGCAGCAGCAATTGAAAGATATAAGCAAACAAAGTACAGTACAAATGAAGTTTATGCACCCATCAAACACATCCGAATCCCAAGCCCTTGCGCCTTGCACCCTAACTGCAAGCACTTATGCAAGCATTGGGCAACAGCAGCTTCTAGTCATGAAGCAACGCCTCCACCCAATAAATATGGCACCAAGTCACACCTCACCACCACATAATAAAACCAGCATCTCTACTTGCGCGAAGCAGCAGTAGAACTAGCGGCAGCAGCAGGGAGCACTGACTTGAGAGATGCGGAGGGACTCTGGCTCCCCGGGGAGCGAGGCTTGGTCACTCGAGCCACACGGGGCGTGCTTCCAGTCCCTGCTGCTCCCTCGCTAGCAGAGGCTGAAACTGATGGGCTGGAGGGGTTCGAACCAAGGGAACACGGGGTTTGGAAGAGGGTATTAGAAGGGTGCATTTGAGGGCATCAGAGAAGCTTTTCTACACACAAGAAAAGCACAAGCACAGACGATTCATAAACCCCTGGTGTTTACTAGAAAAAAAGCAGTGGTTACTTACATGTTGCTGCTGGTGCTTGCAGCCTTGGTCTTGCCTGCCACGACACTGGGAGGGCGAATACCACTGGTGCTGGCACTGGCGCTACTCACACTGCTGCGAGGACTGCCAGCTCTCACCACTGCAGGCCCATCAGCACCCTTGTCACCCACTGCCGTGCCAGCCGCAGCAGCAGCAGTGGGGGTGGGGATGTTGCTGGGGCTAGCAGCGCGGGGACTGGCAGGGCGAGCGGAGGACGCAGAGGCGGACTTGGCAATGCGGGGGGTGGAGGGGAGGGACGATGCAGGGGTGGAGGCTGCACTGGGGGAGGGCAGCCTGGGGGCTGCAGAGGAGGAAGAGGAGTCGCGGTTGGCGGGCACGCGGCGGACCACCACGACCTTGCGAGTGACTGTGGTGCGATCAGGTGCCGGCAGGGATGGGGATGACGGCTCCTTGATCACCTGCAAGCACACACAGGGCAACATCTTTGTCAGCAACACTTCCTTCTATCAGCAACAACTCATGCAAGTGTCTGATGTCTCGGCACAATGATGGCCCGGTCCATGAATGCTCATTGCTCAGTGCAACAACGGTGCTTTCTCTCGCGTCCCTGACACGCTATGCGCAAGTCCAGGGAGGAATAGACATGGGTGACTCATACCTTTCGTCGCATAGTGCTGCTGCTGCTGCTGTAACTCGGGCTGCCACCACTCCCACTGCTACCACTGCTCCCACCAGCACCACCGCCAGAGCTTGCATTCCCCGTGGCAGCAGCAGCCGCAGCACTGGAAGCAGCACCCAGCAGCGCGGCCAGGTTCCCATTCTGCTGCTGCTGCAGAGCCGCAGCCGCCGCTTCAGCCGCCGCCGCCGCCGCCTCAGCAGCAGCAGTAGCAGCAGCAGCCTCAGCCTGCAGCCGCTCCACCTCCGCCTCCAGCTCCAAGACATGCACTCGCATGTCCCCTATGCGCCGCTCCTTCTGAGCCGACTCAAAAGCAGCCGCCGCCTGCAGCCGCTCCACTTCCGCCTCGAGCTCCACCACCTGAACGCGCATCTCCCCAATGCGCCTCTCCGCCGCCGCCTGCCCCTCCATCTTGGCCGCCACCACGTCCTCCGCTGCCTCCTGCTTCAGCCGCCACTCCGCCCGCTGCCTCTCCGCCTCGCCCTGCACCTCGGCGATCCGCGCCTCCAGCTCCCGGATCCGCGCCTCCCGCTCCTCCACCTCGGCCTGCTTCGCCAGAATCTCCGAGTGCAGTGCCGCCACCTCCGCCTGCTTCACAGTGAGCTCGGTCTGCCGGGCGGCGATCTCCGCCCGGGCTTCCTCCAGCTGGGTCGCCACGAGCTGGCCCTCCTCCACCTGCCGCTCCAGCTCCTCCACCTTGCAGTGCACCGACTCCAAGAACCGCTCCGCCTGCTTCCGATCCACCAGACCGCCCGACGCAGCAGCAGTGCCAGCAGCTGCTGCTCCCGCCTCACCACCCCCCTCTCCTTGCACCAGCATGTCCGCCTGCTGCTGCAGCCGCATGCGGTCGCACTCTCTTGCCTTCTCACTCAGCACCGCAGCGTGGCTCGCGAGCCCCTTCTTCTCCCGCTCCGCCGCCAGCATGGCCCTCTCCAGCGCCTCGTTCACCCCCCTGGCCTCCCCCAGCAGGTTCTCAATGGCCGCCTTCTCCTCTTTCATCCGCTGCACCTCGAACGACAGCTCCTGCAGCACCACAGCCTCCCCTCTCGCCACCTCCAGCTCTGCTGCTAGGCCGATCTCCCTGGCGCGCCACTGCGACCTCTCCGCCTGCAGGCTCTGTATCTTGGCGTCCAGCTCCCGCACCTCCGCCTCCCACCGCGCCTCTGCCGCCGCCGCGCTCGCCTCCGCAGCTCTCAGCCGCCCCTCCAGAGTCATTCTCGCCGCCTGCTCCTCCGCCAGCGCCGCCGAGGTCCGATCGATCCCGCTGCGCCCGCTCAGCAGCGCCTGCAGCTGCTCCTTCAGCACCATCACCTCCGTCTGTAGCTGCTCACTGGCCGCCTCCTTCTCGCTGCGTTCTCGCTTCACCGCCTCTTCGAGCCGCGTCACCCGCACCACTCCTTCCTCCTTCTCCGCGAGCACCTGCTCCAGGCGCTGGAACAGCTTGCGCTCCATGTCGCGCATCTCCCCCGCCTCGCGCGCGGCCCTCTCGCGCACGCTCCGCAGCTCCCCCTCCAGCATCTCCGCGCGGTCTGCCGCCGCCTGCCGCAGCTCCTCCTCGCGCCGCACCGTCTCCTGGAGCCGCCCGCGCAGCGCTTCCATGGCGGCGGCCTTCTCCTCCGCCGCGCGCCGCCCCTCGCGCTCCATCTCCGCGTCGCGCTGCGCCTCCGCCACCACCGCCGCCGCGTCCGCCGCGCTGCGCCCGCGCCCCTCCGCGTCCCCCTTCAGCTCCCCCACCTGCGCCTCCAGCACCGCGATCTGCTGCTCCAGCGCGCCCCTGGTCGCCACCGCTTGCGCCAACTCCCCCTCCACCCACGCCTTCTCGCTCCGCGCCTGCTTTAGCGCCTCCTCCAGCTGCTGGATCATCCCCGCCGCCGCCTGCTTGCTCTCGCGGCTCTCCCGCAGCTCCACCTCCTGCGCGGTCGCGCGCGCCGTGGCGATGCTCACGCGCGCCGCCAGCCGCCCCATCTCCTCCTCCGCCGCCTTGGCGCGCATGCGCGCCTCCCCCGCCTCGCGCCCCAGCTCCGAAATCCGCCCTTCCCTCACCCGCTTCTCCCCCTCCAGCACCCCAATATCCCGCTCTAAGCTCTCCGCGCGCACGCGCCACACCGCCACCTCCTCCTGCAGCTGCTCCACTTCCTTATCCCCCACGGCGGACTCCCGCGCTGCCTTCACCTTGGCGGCTGTTGCCTCCTGAAGAAGCTCCCTAAGGGATGCTAGCTGCAGCTCGAGCTCCTCCACTCTCACTGCCGCATCCACCTGCCCCTTGAACTTCTTTGCTGCGCCTACGATGCCTTTGGGGAGCAGGGCCGGGGATTTCCCCACTGCTGCTGCTGCTGCTGCTGCTGCGCCGGAGTTTGATTCTGCCGCGTTTGCTGCAGCAGCGGCGGCGGCGGCGGCTGTAGTAGCTACGGCTACGGCTTCCGCGGCCTCTTCCGCCTCCTCCGCTTCTTCCGCCAGCAGGTGCAGCTGCGCCGCCAGGGACGCCGCGGACTCCTCCGCGCGCTCCCTCGCGCTCACCTCCTCGCTCATCCGCGCCGCCAGCTGCTGCCGCTCCTCCTCCGCCGCCTCGCACCGCCGCTGCAGCGCCGCGATCTGGCTCCCCCGCGCCGCCACCTCGCTCTCCAGCTCCGCGCGCTGCTCCGCCGCGCGCTCCACCTCCCGCTGCATGCGCGCCACTTCCCCGCGCAGACTTCCCGCCTCCTCCCCCCCCTCTGCTATCGCCTTCGCGGCTGCCGCCTCCGCAGCCGCCAGGCAGACGCGCAGCCTGTCCACCTCTGCAGACGCGTTGATGACGTCAGCCTTGCGCTTGTCCAGCTCATCACTGAGCTCCGCCACGTGTTCGTTGAGCCGCGTGATGCTCTCCTGCTCCTTCTGCTGCTTCCGCGCGCGCAGCTCCTTCCACTTACCCACCAGACCCCCTCCGCGCTTCCACCCCCCATCCCCACCACCAGTAGCACCGCCACCACTACCAGCAGCAGCGTTGCTCCCAGACACCCCCCCAGTTCCCTCCGCGGATTCCCCCCCCTCCAGCCCACTAGCGCGCATGATCTCCTCCATCTCCGCTTCCAGCTCCTTGATCCGCGCCTCCTTCGCCTCCGCGTCCCGCTTCGCCGCCGTCAGACTCGCCGCCAGCTCCAGGCTCTCCGCGGTGAGCTCCTGCGCCTCCTTCTCCGCCTCCTCCAGCTTCCGCTGCAGCTGCTCCACGCGGCTGGATTCGCACTCCGCCGCTGCCACCGCCGGGGGGAGGGGTAGCGGGGGCCCGCACAGCGCAGCGGCATTGGCGCTGGGAGAGAGGGGTGCGGGCGCGGCAGAGGCAGGGGAAGCGGAAGCAGGGGAGAGGGCGGAGGAGTATTCTGTGGCAACTTCCGCACTATCTCCAGCGGCTGCAGCGCCGCTTGGGCTTTCTCCCGCCATTCTTCCCTCTCCGCGCTCCTCCGCCCCTCCACCCGCCCCTACCGCAAGCCCCTCCGTCCCGTTCTGCGCGCCGCTCCCCACATCCCCGCGCCAGTCGCCCTCGAGCTGCGCCAAGCGCGCCTCCAGCTGGTTGTGCGCGTCCACCGCCTTGCGCATGCGCTCCCGCCAGTCCGCCTCCAGCTTGCGCATGCGCTCGCGCCAGTCCGCCTCGCGCTCGTCCGTCTGCCGCTGCGCGCGCTTGCCCGCCTGCTCGCGCTCCTGCTCCCGCTCGTACAGGTCCTGCGCATCCCGCCGGTACTTGTCCGCGTCCGCCTCCGCGCGCTGCAGCGCCTTGGTCAACTCCGCGTTGGCGGACTGCAAGGGGGGAGGGGGGGGGGCAGGGGAAGGGGGTGAGGGGGGGTGTAGGGAAAATAGTTGAAGGGGGAGGAGGTGGATGTGAGAAGGTGCGAGTATTGTCGGGAGAACGCAACGGGCGAGGTACGTTGATGGCAGCAAGGAAGCATGAGGTCGCCTTGCTAATGATTATGGCGGCACGTGAACCACAGGACACCCAGCGACGCTCGGCTTGGCGTGTGGAGGGCGGGGAGGGACGAGGAGCTCAGGCGTGGTTGCTTTACTCATTTTCTGCTCATTTGAGACTCTTGGTCTGTTTCTTCGCGCTTGTTCTGCACAAACAGACCACTAAGAATCTCAAATGCCCTTGGTGCTCATACTTCTTCCCCTACCCAGTCCAAGCCAAGGACCCACCCACACCCCCTCTTATGGATTTCTTCACGAGTATGGTGAAGTGCATGTCGGGTAACCCGTTTCTAGCCCTCACTCGTTATATTTTATTCTACCTTCCTATGTACATCCCCTAAACCCCTCCTTACCGAGAGCATCTCCACTTCCGACTTGAGTTGCGCGGTCAGCTCCGTGTGGTACTCCAGCTCGCGCATCACCATCAGCAGCGACGTGCCTCCGCCCGCCGCGCCTCCCCCCGCCTCCGCCTCGCTCTGCGCCACCTTCAGGATCGCCACCTGCTTCGCAAACGCGTCGCGATCGCTCTTCACCGCCGCCATCTCCGCCTCCGCCGCGCGGTCCGCCACCAGCGACTCCGCCAGCTGCGCCCGCAGCGCCTCCACCTCGCGCATCAGCGCGCGCGAGGTTTGCTGCTGCGCCGTACAGTCGCGCTGGAGCCCCTCGATCGCCGCCTCCGCCGCTACCAAATCCGCCTGTAGCTCTCCGCCGCTGCTGCTGCTCCTTCCGCGATCGCGCGCCGCCAGCGCAGCCGGCGCTCCTGAGGCCGTGGAGGGACCACCCGCGCCTAGCGCAGTGGCAAAGCCGGGGCGGAGGCCGGTTCCGGGGAGGAAAAGCGCGGAAGTGGAAGCGCTGACGCTGATTCCGCCCTCGTGCTGCGCGCCTACTCCCACTCCCCCCGCGGCGGCTGCGCCTTTTCCGCCACCCTCGCCCGCGCGGGCAGCCTCGATGAGGACGTCCGACATGGAGTGGCGCAGCGGGTTCGCTCCGCCGGTCCCCACTCCGCCGCTCAGCGTGCGGTATGGGCTCTGGAACCGTCCCTGCCCTCCGCCAAGCGCGCCGAGCCGGCCGCCCACACCTGGTCCCGCTCCGCCCAGACTAGCGGGGAGCCCCGCGGAAGACTCTGGCGCGGCGGAAGCGGAGAGCAAGCAGGAAGTGGGGGACATGGCGCTGGCGGGAAGCGGAGGCAGATTGGGGGAGGACGGGGGGAAGAGCTTCAGGCCAAATCCGCGCATTCCCGCGGGTTTGAGCCCAGGGGACTGGTCCTTGTGCGCCCCATGGCTCCCCCCGGCAAGGTTCCCCGCGCTGATGCTATCGTGAAGTCCGCCGCCGGCGGGGTGCGCCACGTATCCCGCGCCCGGAATGAACCGCCCGCCTCCGCCGACCTCCATGGGTCCGCTCGCGACGCTGCGGTGGTACGGGTCCCCCACCAGCGAGGGGTTCGGCGGGCGGCGGAGCTCCCCCGAGAACGACACCAGCGGCGGAAGCTCCTCGTCCTCCCCGAGCGCGCTCTCCGCGCCAGCGGCGGAAGATTCCCCGGCCTTGGCGGTTGCGGGCGCGGGGGACGCGGCGGCGGGGAGCGCGATGGGAGGAGGGAGGGATCCCGCGGCTGGGGAGCCTTTTGCGGCTGCCGGGGTGGCGGGGGAGCGGGAGAAGAAGCCGGAGCGGGCGCGGGTGCTGGAGGGGGGAGATTTCATGGGCGCAAGCGCGGGGGACGCGCTGAGCGCAGGACTAGCGATCCCCGCCAAGCTAGCCGCCAATGAGGTATGCGCGGCAGACGTGGCAGCAGGCGTGGCACCGGCGCTGACGTGGCTGCTGCCGTCTGTGGCGGCGGCGCCCTCAGCGGAGTCCCCGGCGGCTTCAGTAGTCCCCTTCGCGCTGCTCTCACCGCCCGCGGCAGCGGCTGCGGCGGGCGCCGTAGCGGGGGAGGACGCGCCCTTCCCCGCGCCGACGCCTTCGATGAGGGACGCGGAGCGGCGGAAGAGCTTGGCGGCTGCCGCGCCGGCAGCAGACGCGGCAGTGGTAGCCGTGGCGACAACACCGCCGCCGCCGCCGCCGCCGCTGCTGCTGCTGGTGCTGGCGGTGGTGGTGGAGGGAGCGGGTGGAGCAGGCGCGTTGGCAGAAGTATCGGTGGTGTCAGTAGACTTGCCTCGCACCTTGGGTCGATGCTCGGGCAGCTGTCACGGGGAACACACAGAGGGAGACGAGAGGGCGAGAGAGCTCGACGGTGGTATGGCGCACAAAAGAGAGGCGAGAGAGGTAGCTGGCGACGGGAGAACGGGAGAGCAGAGAGACGGGCGTAGAGGCGGCAGAGGGGCGAGGGGGAGAGCATGCGCGTACCTTCATGGAGGCCACTGGCACGTTAGCCAGGCGGTAGATGAAGCTCGCCGCCTTGCCCGCCGTGCTGCTGCTGCCGCTGCTGCTGCTGCTGCTCGCGCTGCTCCCACTAGCATTCGCGCCGCTACTGCCGCCCCCGGCGCTGTTGCTGCCGCCGCTGCTGCTACTGCCGCCGCTACTGCTGCTAGCTCCCCCCTCGCTTGTCGGGGCGCTGCTGCTGCCGCTGCTGTTGCTGGTAACGCTTGCGCCCTCCGCGCTCTCCGCGTTGCTCCCCTCAGTCGCTCCGCAAGACGACACCTTGTCCTCCGCCGCCGCCTGCTGCGCCTCCACCGCCTTGACGGAAGACTCCGCCTCTACCGCCGCTGGCGCTGGGTCAACTGCGCCCGTATCGGCGCTGCTGCTGCTTCCGCTGGCCGGTACCTCCGCAACTTGTTCCGCTGCCGATGGCGCGCCACTCAGTTGCGCACCGCTCGGCTGCTCCCCGCCCGCCGCTTCCTTCTCCGCGCCTTCCCCTGCAGGCGCAGGCGCTGCTGGATCCGCTTTCTGCGCGCCGTCACCCGCGGGCTCTGCGTCCTCGCCATAGTAGTCATCGTCATAGTAGTAATCGCCTTCGTCCCTCTCCGCGAGCGTGCTGCTACTACCCGCGGGTTGCTCCTCTGCCGCCTCTCCCTCTTCCTTGGGGTCCAGCGGGAAGCTTTGCAGCGTCGCCTGCACGTAGGAGATAGATGGGCGCACGGGTGAGGTGGATATGGTGAGAGGAAGGATGCCGAATACTACATCCGCGGAAGTCCTACGTTCGGCAAGGCACATGCAGTGAGCTCGTGAAGAGGGGCGGCCACAGGAGCGATGAAGAGAAAGAGAGCGAATGGTGGGGGGGAGGGGAAGAGAGGGTGGGGGGGAGGGGGGGCGGAGAGGGCGTACGTGGAGGACGGAGCCGGCAGCGAGCGGCAGCGCGCGCTGGTCGAGCTCGCGGTACTTGATGAAGTCCACCAGGTTCAGCGACGCCTCGCCCAGAACCGTGCCCCACGTGCCGCCCTGCCCACGCACACACGCACACACACACATGCGCAACGAAACGAACCGATAGCGAAACGATCACGCAACGATACAGAAGCGCACGCACGGACGAATGGTTGGTGCCACGGCGGCGATAAAGAAACCGAGGTGCTGGGCGGTGGACAGACGTGTCCATGCGCAGACTGGTAGGCGGGTGCCGCGGGTGCAGCGGGTGCAGCGGGTGCAGCGGGTGCGGTAAGACCACCTGGCGTTAGGGATAGCATAGAGAGGGTACGACGAGTGAGGGATGCTTACAGTGGAGACGACGAAGCGGTACGTCTTGGGGTCGTAGGCCTTGGTCTTGGGGTTGCGCGCGATCTTGATGACCTGCGTGACGGTCTCCGGCCACTGGCAGATGCCGTTGCGCACCGGCGACTTGGTCGTCTGCGCCTCCGTGCGACCCGAGTCGCACGAGATCACCGACACGCACAGCTGGTCGTAGCCTGACAGGGGGATCTGGCGCATGCACGGAAGGAAGCACGGGATGCACGGCGGGATGCGAGGTAGAGAGGGAAGAAGAAAGGGCGGTCAGCACAAGCATGGAAGGAGACTGGGAAGTGCCCGTGGAAAAAAAGCGTCTGCGTCTGCGTCGTTTGCTGGCATCCTTTAATGCGTAAACGGCAACTAAGTAGAGCTCTAGATCTGCGTCTGCGACTACGGAAAGCTATAACTCACGAGCAGCCGAAACGACAGAGCCTGAAGAAGGGCTACCTCGGAGGAGCAACGGAATGTGGACTCACACGAGTGGCGTGGAACCTAAAACGGAACTCGAACTTCTCCTTCACGGCGCGGGCTCGCAGCCCTTTGAACATAGAGCCCTGCAGCATCAGAGGCCGCAGCGGCTCCGAGAGATTCGCTACCATGGCTGCCGCTCACCCCTCGCTGCGCAAGGCGGCTCCAACGCTGCTCCTATTTTGACCACCTCTTCGCCTAGTTAATCCGCTTCTCTAGACTGGTCCTAACGCTGGAGATCCCTAAGCATGCGCTCATCACATTTGCGAATTGCGTATGAGCCCGTGGAGACTGCAGTGCGGTTGTTACCAAGGGTCAGTGTTGTGAAGAACAGTCACATGTGCCTGGGGGGCAGTGGAAGAGCAAAGGTAAGGCCATGGAGCCAGGCGCTATGCGTGCTGGGATATGACTGGCCCTTGACCGGGTCCTACGCGTAAGGTAAGGGCGAACGAGCCGCAGCAAGGCTGTGCAAGCTCAGTGGTGTGGGAGGAGCGGCATGGCATGGCGTTGGTGGAGGGGATGGCAGCGCCAGGAGCTCCCGATTTGCCACGACGGCTGCCATCGCGATTCGGTTTGTTTCCCGCGAATGCGCCACCAGTAGCGAGTACCCTTGGCGAAAAACCTGAGTTGAGTGGTGATTTAGAGAGACACTTTTAGGGAAGTCCCCCTGCAAGAGGAAGGATTATACTTGCTTTTAGTGAAACTTGAAGTAGGCAGGCTTCTTTCGCACACTGACCCGAGTCGGCCGACCTTGTGATGAGGTACCGTGGCACGTCCGACACAAGGCCGCGAGTGGCGTTCTGCATGGATCCATGCGACAGGGGAAAGTGGTTTCGTGGGTTTTCGTTTGGTGTAACGCTCGTCGTAATGACTATTCGCCACGATCAGGTGTTACCGTAAGACTCCATTCAGTACATAAATTCTTGCTTAATGTTTACATTACGATAAAAGGTTCTGGTCACATGAGATCAACCACTGAACTATAACCACCATTACCCATAGCGAGTACATCTTAAGGTGTCAGATGTGGCTTTTCGCGCGACATCATCTGACGACCGTCCTTGAAGCCAACCGAATCCTCCAATCACCGCAGCGGGACAAGAGAGCAGGCCAATCGCAAAGACGAGCTCTGTCTGCTGTGCGATGCCCTTCGAGGATGTTTCCCTCGTAGCGGGCGATAATCCTACACCCACCACTCTTGGCATGACGGGCAGCCACCCCCATCTCCGTCGCGCTTGACGGGAATTTCGAGCTCGGACCACAGTGATTGTTCGCACAGGCTCCCCTCTTCCTTCCCAACTGTCGCACAGTACTTGGCCCGCCTCGCCCTGCTGTCACCTCAGGGAATTCATTTTTCCCACCCTCGAGAATTGTTGCTCGTGATTTGAAAGCTTGAAGCACCTCTCTCTCCAACGAGTCATCCATCAGAATTCTTGCTCAGGGATAGAAGTTAGGAAGCTAGGAAACTAGGTGCAATGGCAGGCCGCATAATAGTCGACAGGCGAGCTACCCTATCAGTCTTCCTCGTCCTGTTTCTGTTCCAGATCTCCGATGCGGCACCGGTCACCAGAGCGTTCCAGACCGCTGGGAGTGCAGCCGATCAACGGCAGCGAAAGACGCCTCTTCGGAGGCTACTCCGCGAGATGCGACGGCGATTGGCGGAGGACGTTCCGGCGTACGAGCCGTGCGGCATGAAGTACATGGACTACTCGCCGTGCGAAGACCCCAACCGCGCGAAGAAGTTCGTTCGCGAAAATCTCGCGCATCGCGAGCGGCACTGCCCGAAGAGCACGGAGCTGCTCAACTGCCTCATCCCGCCGCCCGTCGGCTACAAGCGCCCGCTGCCGTGGCCGCAGAGCCGCGACGAGGCGTGGTACGTGAACGTGCCGCACAAGCAGCTGACGACGGCGAAGGCGGACCAGAACTGGATCCGCTACGACGAGCAGACGGAGAAGTTCTCGTTCCCCGGCGGCGGCACCATGTTCCACAAGGGCGCGGACCACTACCTTGAAGAGCTCGGCAAGCTCATCCCGCTCACGGACGGCACCATTCGCACGGCGCTCGACACCGGCTGCGGGGTAAGCGACTACGAGATTAGTAGGCGACGGTATCGCTCGATTTGTTTCAAGTCTGCGGAGCGAGTTGACTGCTGGCTGATCTGTCGACGCGATCCGCCTTAGCCGCTACTGATGGCTGTTCTACGTCCTCGAGTCCTAGCTGACGATTCTCCGTCCGCGCCGTGCACACGTGTCTCCCCATCGCAGGTGGGCAGCTTCGGCGCGTATCTGCTGAGCCGCGGCGTGCTGACGATGTCGCTGGCGCCGCGCGACGGGCACGAGGCGCAGGTGCAGTTCGCGCTGGAGCGCGGGCTGCCCGCCATGATCGGCGTGCTCGCCTCCAAGCGCCTGCCGTACCCCGCGCGCGCCTTCGACCTCGCGCACTGCTCGCGCTGCCTCATTCCCTGGTGGCTCGACGGTGAGCGGGCGACATGGAATGATGGGACAAGGGGGCATGCTGTTTTGACGGATGACCCAGGGTAGACGTGAAGTGTGCGCTGTACGACAAAGAACAGCCAGATCACGGAGTCCCGGCTCGTTCTGGGTTCACGGTGTATCAGCGCCGCCCACACACCTGCAGGACTACAGCACCGTCTTGCACCGATCCCAATGTCCCTCCACTCCCGCTTCCCCCATTCCCTCCCCCCCACCTCACAGACGGGCGCCTCCTGGCGGAGATCGACCGCGTGCTGCGCCCCGGCGGGTTCTGGGTTTTAACGGGCCCGCCCATCGACTGGCAGCACTACGCACGCGGGTGGAACCGCACCAAGGAAGACCTATCCGCGGAGCAGGACCGCCTGGAGGCCGCCGCGGAGAAGCTGTGCTGGCGCAAGTACAAGCAGGCGGGCATGTTCGCCGTGTGGCAGAAGCCACTGGACGGCGAGTGCCAGAAGAGCAGGGCGGAGGCGATTCCCCCCTTGTGCCCCGCGGACCAGGATGCGGACCTGTCGTGGTAGGGGAGGGGGGATGGCCGGTGGGAGGGGGGGGCAGGGGGGGTTGGGGGCGGTAGAGGGGTGATTGTGGGGTGGTGATGGGATGTAGACGGGGTGGCATTGGGTTGAAACAGGGGCGTGCAGTTGGGTGGAATGCGATGGAGATGGGGCATGAACAAGAGGGGCAGTGCTTGCGTGTGGTTCATAAGCTATCGGTGCTTCTCTTTCCTGACTGGCTGGCGCTCTGCCTGCTGGGTGTTTCTGTCAAGTCATGCGTTTGGTGCAAAGCACGCTCTTCCCACTCCCTCTCCTCCCCTCTTTCTCATCACCCTTCTCCTGTCCCCCCGCCAACCCCCCCTCGTTCCCCCTGTCCCCTTCCCTCAACCCCCCTTCCCCCTCCTTTCCCCTTATCTTCCTCATCTCCCTTATCCTCCCCCCATTCCCCCCCCCCCCCTGCCCCGTACCAGGTACACGCCCATGACTACGTGTGTGACCCCTGTGTCCGCAGCAGTGCACCCCAAAACCAGTATCGACGCACCCCAAATCTAGTTTCCTCCCGCTGTGCTCAACTCCCTGATACTCCTCTCTCCACCCCCTCCCCTCCCCACCCCCACTGTCCCCCCACCAGGTACACGCCCATGACAGCATGTCTGACCCCGGTACCTGCAGCAGACGGCAGTGGCGTGGCGGGCGGCAGCGTGGACAAGTGGCCCGCGCGCCTCACGGCTACCCCGCCTCGCATCGCCCTGGGGCTGCTGTCAGGCAAGCCCGGCGCTGCTCTTGCTAAAAGCGCTGCTGCCTCTAGCGCGGTTGATGCGGAGGAGGGTGCCGAGGAGGAGGCGCGGGAGAGTGCGGAGGGGGCAGGAGAGGAGGAGGGGAGTGGTGGAGAGGAGAGCAAGGAGGGGAGTGAGGAGGAGGGCAAGGAGGGGAGTGAGGAGGAGAGCAAGGAGGGCAGTGAGGAGGAGAGCAAGGAGGGGAGTGAGGAGGAGAGCAAGGAGGGGAGTGAGGAGGAGGGCAAGGAGGGGAGTGAGGAGGAGAGCAAGGAGGGGAGTGAGGAGGAGGCGGACGAGGAGAGGGCAGAGAGAGCACAGGAGGAGAGCTCCAATGGTGCAGGCATTAAAGAGGAGGGCGCAGAGGAAGAGGAGAGCAGTGAAGGCAGTGGAGAGAGCGGCGAGGAGGGTGGCGAGGAGACAAGCAGTGAGGAGGACGTGCAGAGGCGGCGTCTGCAGGGCGAGAGTGGGATGGTGGTGGAGGACCTGACAGTAGAAGACTTTGCAGCAGATTCTGACAAGTGGCGGCAGCGCGTGCGCTGGTACAAGCGCAGCCTGCTTCCAGACCTGGGGCAGGAGGGCGGGCAGTATAGAAACATCCTGGACATGAGTGCGGGCATGGGGGGGTTTGCGGCGGCCCTGGGGCGCGATCCGGTGTGGGTGATGAGTGTGGTGCCGGTGGATAGAGGGGACGCCGTGGGGGGGGATGCTGAGGGCGTGGATGCACCGGCGCACGTGTCGTTTGGCGCGGCTAACACCCTGGGGGTGATCTACGACCGCGGGCTCCTGGGGACGTACCAGGACTGGTGTGTGCTTGAGTCTTAGCAACCTATCTTCCCCACCACACTGGTTACCATTTTCCCTGGGTTTCCTGCTATTTCCTGTCTATATGTGCTGTTAACGATTCTGGGTCTCTGTGCTGTGCTGATGGTGCGTCTCTTTGCTCTGGTGGTGGTGCTGGTGCTGCAGGTGTGAGGCATTCTCCACGTACCCCCGCACCTATGACCTCATCCAGGCCAACGAGCTCTTCTCCCAGTGGACCTCCAGGTACGCTCGTCTGGTGGTGGTGTTGTTGACTCTGCCACCTTACCCTGCCTTATCACTCTATTACCTCACACTGCTAGCTCACTCTGCCATGTCACTCGGCTATCTCACAGTGGTACCTCAATCTGCTATCTCGACACGCTTTCTGCCTCATTATGCTCTCTTGTTCTCCTGACGGCATGCCCCATCAAACACGACTTTAAACATCTCCACCAACTACCCGTTCATGCCCCTCACCCCCTTTGCCCAGAACACCCCCAGGCTGGTCTCCTCTGCAGCAATTGCTGCTGGAGGTGCACCACATCCTCTGCCCCGAGGGCGTGGTGCTCTTGGGACCTCGCGGTGGTGGAGAGAATAGACAACCCACCCAACTCCCCTCCTCCCCCCTTCCCCTCCCCCCTTCCCCCCCAGGCCGTGTCCTGTGGAGCAGGTGCTGCTGGAGGTGGACCGCATCCTGCGCCCCGAGGGCGTGGTGCTCATTCGCGACGACCTGCCCACGCTGCGCCGCATCAAGCGCATTGCACCCGCCCTGCGCTGGGACGCCCGCATAGAGCGCCCCGGGAAGGACGATGTTGTGGGCAAGGATGGCGAGGAGGAGGTGGTGCTGGTGTGCACCAAGAAGTACTGGACGTCGGGGTAGAGGACAAGGCATGGCGGAAATTAGCAGTTGTACTGAGTTGGCTTAGGTGGACAATTGGTGTAGGTTGAAAGTACTCCAGACCTACCGTGCATAGCAGGTTATTGACAATAAAAACTGCATTCAATGAATATGTATCTAGATGCAAACACATGAATATGTATCTAGAGTAACTTGACGCAAACACATGAATAAAGCTCCACACTGATTGGGACTAACTCCCGAACAGGTGAATGGGTGGGTTCATGAGTCAAGTTCCGTGCTGCATCCAAGCGAGCAGACGCATGCATGCACCAAAACGCACTTTCGCAGTCATCCAGTCCAGTCACAAGCTTGTGGCATACCGTACGTGTGGCTAGAGACGGCCTCTGGTTTTGTGGTCCAAAGTGGCCGATGGTGACAACACGGAGGATATTTTCTCTATGTTATCTCGACGAATGCGGTCCACCTGCATACACCATATGACATTAAGCGAAAGGGTACACCAACACACTCACAGTGCACTCAGTTTAAGACTTACTCTCCAAGGAGGGATTCCAGCCCTTGTAAGTTCGGTGACCTGCCAAACGAGCAGGGGGGCAAACATCCGGGAGACACCCACAACCTACTTTGAGGAACGGGTGTGTGGGAATGCCATGCAGCTGGGGTAGATGGGGCTTGCATTTGGGGTAGATGGGGCTTGCATAAGCAGTACTAGAAGGGGGTTGCAGTCATTGCAAAAGCAAAACTCACCGCTTCAAACGGCGTAGCTCCCACATGCGGCTTCTTCCGAAAAGCGCATATTTGTGCTGCATAGGCTTTGCCAATACCCTGGAAATACATGAGGACGTTATTCATGCACATTCTCTGCTGGTTACTCTAACTCACAGAGACGCTCATGTACATTGCCTAGCCACAAACGGATCCAACAGTCTCCCCAGAATTGCTTACCTTCAACTGCTGCAGCTCCTCCCTGGAGGGCAAGTATAAGAGAGAATAAGGAGGGGACAAAATACATAATGATATGTCTCAGTAGTAGAACCAACCGAGAAGGCAGGCGGCAAGGGATGGAGCTGTATAAAGCACGAAAGGGAACAGAATTCAATGGTCTCGTTCAAGTTGCACAGGATCTTACTCGGTGGCATAGTTGAGCTTTGCAACAAGCAGCCTCTCTATAGCAGCCTGTAACAAAAATGTCTTCCAATGTATAAGTATTGCAAGAAAAAAGAGACAGCATGTAGGCTGTTACAAAGGATTTACATGTGCTCACCGTGTCCTCAGGATGGGCAGGGGTCGAAGGGTCCCCAGTGGCCAGGCCCTGAATGCCACGAAAGTCCTCTAGTTCACAAGACACCTGGCACAAGCAATAAGAGGAGAGTCACACTTCAGCAAATACGCTGATGAAAAAGCTCGATAAGATCACAACCCTGGAATGTCAGAAATAGGTTAGACTAGGACCCACCATGGCATTACGGAACGCAGACTGTTGTGATGGTGGGTTGGCTGAGATGGCGCCAAGAGGTTGCCGCAAGGGCGTCATCTCCAGAAGCACTGTCAGAGGATCAAGTCCCTGGACTTCCCCGCCCGCTCCCTGCTCACGTTCAGCTTCCTTCTCGGCTTCCTCTCCTTCTCCCTGCTTCCATTCAACCCCCCCTTGAACCCCCTCTCCCTGCTCGACCACATCCCACAACCCCACACCACCTGCATGCGTCGCCTCCTTAGTCAGCACAGGCTCACTTGCAGCCCCGTCGCCTACTGCCTCTTGAGCCAGTGCCGGCTCCTCTCCCACTGCCATCTTGCCCAAGGCTGCTTCGTGCACTAGCTCTCCACCCTCCACTTCCTCTTCACCCTGCCAACCCTTCCCACCCTTCCCACCCTTCCCATCCTTCCCATCCTTCCCAGCCTTCCCAGCCTTCCCAGCCTTCCCAGCCTTCCCAGCCTGCCCAGCCTGCCCACCCTTCCCATCCTTCCCACCGTCCCCAACTTCCACTTTCTCCCCACGTGCTTTCCCACTGACTGCCTGCTCAAGGCCCCCTTCGCCTTCCTCCTCTGACCTTGAGAGTCCCCTGCCCAGGCCCCGTCCCTGGTCTTTTTGCCAGTCCCCCTCCCCATCCTGTGCTGCAACAACGAGGCACTCCTGCCCCTCTACCACTCGCCCCCTCTCCCTCTTGCTCACCGCTGTGCTATCCTCCTCTGCTGAAGCCGCACTGCTCGCAGTCGAAGGCCTTTCGTCTGCCACATGAGCTGCAGCAGTGCTGTCCGTTGGCTGCCTCGAAGAGGCCATCAGCCTGATCTCCAAGTGCACCATCTGCACGTTAGCCACCGAAAAGCTGCCCTCTGCAATATCTGCTGCTGATGATGCAGCCGCTAAAGCAGCAGACAGCACATCGGGTAGAGCAACCGTCTCCGCAGCAGCAGGCAGCACATAGGGCAGAGCAACCATCTCCGCAGCAGCAGGCAGCACATCGGGCAGAGCAACCGTCTCCACAGCAGCAGGCGGCACATCGGGCAGAGCAGCCGTCTCCACAGCAGCAGGCAGCACATTGGGCAGAGCAACCGTCTCCACAGCAGCAGGCAGCACATCGGGCAGAGCAACCGTCTCCACAGCAGCAGGCAGCACATCGGGCAGAGCAACCGTCTCCGCAGCAGCAGGCAGCACATCGGGCAGAGCAGCCGTCTCCGCAGCAGCAGGCAACACATCGGGCAGAGCAACCGTCTCCGCAGCAGCAGGCAGCACATCGGGCAGAGCAACCGTCTCCGCAGCAGCAGGCAGCACATCGGGCAGAGCAACCGTCTCCACAGCAGCAGGCAGCACATCGGGCAGAGCAACCGTTTCTGCAGCAGCAGGCAACGCACCGGGCAGAGCAACCGTCTCCACAGCAGCAAGCAGCACATCGGGCAGAGCAACCGTCTCCGCAGCAGCAGGCAGCACATTAGGCAGAGCAACCGGCTCTACAGCAGCAGGCAGCACATTGGGCAGAGCAACCGTCTCCACAGCAGCAGGCAATACATCGAGCAGAGCAACCGTCTCTGCAGCAGCAGGCAGCACATCGGGCAGAGCAACAGTCTCCACAGCAGCAGGCAGCGCATCGGGCAGAGCAACCGTTTCTGCAGCAGCAGGCAACGCACCGGGCAGAGCAACCGTCTCCACAGCAGCAGGCAGCACATCGGGCAGAGCAACCGTCTCCGCAGCAGCAGGCAGCACATTAGGCAGAGCAACCGGCTCTACAGCAGCAGGCAGCACATCGGGCAGAGCAACCGTCTCCGCAGCAGCATGCAGCACATCGGGCAGAGCAACCGTCTCCGCAGCAGCAGGCAGCACATCGGGCAGAGCAACCGTCTCCACAGCAGCAGGCAGCACATTGGGCAGAGCAACCGTCTCCACAGCAGCAGGCAGCACATCGGGCAGAGCAACCGTCTCCACAGCAGCAGGCAGCACATCGGGCAGAGCAACCGTCTCCGCAGCAGAAGGCAGAACATCAGGCAGAGCAACCGTCTCCGCAGCAGCAGGCAGCACATCGGGCAGAGCAACCGTCTCCGCAGCAGCAGGCAGCACATCGGGCAGAGCAACCATCTCCACAGCAGCAGGCAGCACATCGGGCAGAGCAACCGTCTCCACAGCAGCAGGCAGCACATCGGGCAGAGCAACCGTTTCTGCAGCAGCAGGCAACGCACCGGGCAGAGCAACCGTCTCCACAGCAGCAGGCAGCACATCGGGCAGAGCAACCGTCTCCGCAGCAGCAGGCAGCACATCGGGCAGAGCAACCGTCTCCGCAGCAGCAGGCAGCAAATCGTGCAGAGCAACCGTCTCCACAGCAGCAGGCAGCATATCCAGGTTCTCATGATTCGCCTGAGGTGACTGGTGAGTCTTCTTCTTGCCGACTCTCTTTGGGTGCTTGCCCTTGCTGACCCGAAGGGCCAGAACCTGGAGACACTTGAATGGGAAAGCTACTCTAGCAGCCATGCTGTTGAGCAGCATCCTCCGCTTTGCAGCAACATCTACTGAATCTATCACTTCCCCTGCCCCTGGTGGTGGTGGTGGTGGTGGTGGTGTTGGTGCTGCTGCTGCTGCTGCGGAAACCGTTTCCCCATCCTCTCGATCCAGAAGTTCAGCGGCCTCTGCAGCTCCCCTCATAAAGGCGCCAAAACAGCAGGACGCCCTCTTGAACCTACTAGGTTTGCGTACCCGGCGGAGCTCATTAGTGATGCGTTCCTGCGATAAGAGAGTAAAAAGTCAATATGAGTTTCTGTAAAGCGAAAGACATGATGCACGTCGAGATAACCTTACCTCTCTTTTGGCTCGAGCTGCATGCACAGCAGTCTTCTGATTTGCAAGCAGCTTGTCCACCCGCCTTGAGCGAGCGGCCACCTCCAAAATGGCCGTGGCCAATGCGACGTCATGCGGGGCCTGGCGGGTGGACAGAAAAAGGTAGTGATATGTATAGATATATTGACATATATTTAAGCAAACAAGCAAACGTTGTGAGCGGTTAAAATTCTCTTAACGGGCGGGAGCGTGTGAAGGAAGTTCTGAAATGGATAGGGTTTACCAGGCAAGCGACCATGACTCCTCGGCTGCTGCCTTTAAAAAAGTCCATCAGGTCCTTATTGTTCCTGTGACCTGCAATGGAGTGGAGCAGAGTGGCACGAGTGCACTAGAAAGTCATCAATAAACTGTGCGAACAGGACAACAACTTTCATAACGGCTATTTGCAGGTAAACGAAAGCAAATCAAGGTCAAAGCTGCTGGCATACCCGTATAATGCACCAATTTCAGCTGGCCGACGACACTCGGGTTGTCGTCTAGCCACACTTTTAATTGCATAACCGCATATGAGCCGGATACCGCATTGGACCCTGTCTTCGCAACTTGACGTCTGTATGTGGCTTCATCGAGCCCATCCAGGAAGGATTCTAGCGAGCTAAATACTTCCTGCAAACGACGTCGAGAAAAAAAAAGTGAACGTCATCCGAAATAAGATGCAAAAGAAAAGTAAGAACTGTCGATTCCAAACAGAACGTAAAGTATCCTTGCCTCCTGCAAGTCAGGTACATCGCCTTTAGAGCCTTCCAAAACCCGGAGCTCCCGGGACCGGAGCAGATCAATGGCTTTACTCCCGTGATGCTCGATATAGGAGAACGATCCTCGATAAGTTTCGAGCTCAATCTGATGTACAGCTATCCACGCCGCGCATAACTCTGCCAGTCCAGGCACATCGCCTTCGCCCTGCTCCATCAGAGAACAGGAGAAGTTAGTATGCGTTAGATTGTTGATGTTTCCAAAAGACTGAGCGTGCATACTACGTAGATTCCCGTAGTATCACCTGCATGAGCCCGCTAGCTGAAGCACCGTATATGAGTATTGTAACGCTGTTGCCATGAATAATCGACGGTAGGTGCTGCTCAATCTCCTTGTCAAACAGAATCTGCGCGTTGTCACTCTCGTCGTACAGAGAATCCAGGTAGAAGCTTTTTCTGTGCCTGCATAAGGCGTGGGAGATAAGTTCGCAAATGTCAGCGAAATCGAACAAATGTCAGGAAATGGTGGATGTTTCACCCGGAATGAGGAAATGTCAGTTTCACGCTGTCTTTTTCTCGCTGAAACTTCATATATTGCTCCTCTGGCTGGTCCGACGGAATCCCTGGACACACCTTCGCCACATATCTAACTCTACTCTCCTCTCTAATGACTCTAGGCAAGGACTGGTTGCGGTTCTTCATCGTGGCTGCAGTTTCTTGTGCTTCTACGGATGCTATGCCTCTTCAGCTGCTTGTCTTCAGTTTTTTGTTTTGTTTCCAGCCTATATCTGTGCTTGCTGATGCCAGTGCAGCTGAACCCTGATCATCTGTCGCTTCACCAACACTATCCAGAGGGGAGAATAAGACGGTATGAGGCGTTACAGTTCGGTTCTATGACGTGTCAACGAGGTTCCCTCTGTCCCAACCGTCCGAAATGTTGGTCGCCTGTTGTTCGACTGGCTGGGCGAGACATAGAAAGTGTCGCAATGCTGCAAGACAGCCGAGAGATGCGGGAACCGTGGCAAAGTGCCTTGTTCTCGATAAGTGAGCACTCAGATCACGCAATTGTGCGTTTCAAATTAAATTTGCAAAAAATATAGCGTACAGAAATCTCGACAATGGAAGATTGTGAGAAGCGCACCACTGATAAATGGCATCCCAAGAGGCTAGCTGCTAGTTGAGGGTATGCTTGACAGGAAGATGCTAACAGTAACGATATAGAGCACAATGTTGCTGGTTTTGATTATTGTACAGCACCAATTTCAGTTTCTATTTCTAACGTAACTAGTTTGGCACCTCCCGTGACAATTATTCATGTGTCCAGGAGGCACGCATGCCACAAACGTGAAACGCTTTATGTAGCAAAGCAAAACCACACAACTGACATACCTGCTGTGGCTGAGCTAGACAACGATTAACGCAAGGCACAAAGTGAATACCGTAATCCAAACTCTGAGACATCGTGAGCGTGATCTGAGAGACAAGACTTGGCTGAGGGAAATGACTTGACAGAGGGAGGGACTGTGTCTCAAACCTAGAAATTGAATAATTGTAGAGTTAGAGAGTACATGCACATATACCTAAATGTTGTACCCTCTAGGAGGTTACCCTATACAGTCTATACAAACATGATCAATAAACATATTTGACACACCCCCTGGACTGCATAGGGGAATGTCCTAGATAAGCAGCTCAGGGCGGCACTACTAGTCCAGCCTCTGAGACAAGGGTCTAAAAGACCAGTCAGAAGGAGTACAGATAAGACAAGAACAAGTACAGGGCGGCACTACTAGTCCAACCACTGTAAGAGGACACAAGTCCAGTCTGAGTGTACACATATATATAGGACAGTACAAAGTCAAGACCCGAGTAAGTGAGCGACTACAGGAACCAGACCAAGCTGTACACAGTGCCGCTGATGATCTTTAGGCGCAAGCGCCTTCGTAAAGATATCAGCTGTGTTGGCACCAGAGGCCAAGTGTACTACGCGAGCCTGGCGACGCTGCTGTAGCTCGCGCAGGAGGAAGTACCGCAGCTGGATGTGCTTCGCTCTACCCTCGAGTCGAGGCTCCTGACACAGGAGGATCATGGCCCTGTTGTCAGCGTACAAGAGCGGGGCAGAGCTAGGCCGCTCACCTAAGTCAGTGAGCAAGAAGGTCAGCCAGCGGAGCTCCTGTGCCGCCATGGCACCGGCGTAGATCTCAACCTCACAGCTGGACTGGGCAACAGACGAGGAGCGGGTAGCTCTCCACGAGACAGCACCTGAGCCAAGGCTAAAGCAGTAGCCCTGGGAAGACCTGAGCGTCTCGGCGTCGTCTGCCCAAGAAGCGTCTGTGTGTCCAGTAAGGACCACTGGCCTACGTCCGCCTAGCACTAACCCCATGCCCGATGTACTTGCAAGATAACGCAAAACCCTCTTAGCGGCAGACCAGTGCTGAGGTCGGTGTCTGCCTGTGGCCACGAAACGAGCCAGGATGCTGAGAGGGTATGCGAGATCTGGGCGAGTGCAAGTCATCAGGTACATGAGGCAACCCACTAGCTCAGCGTAAGGACCACTGGGATCTACCGACTCCTCAGGAACTGGAGCGGAGAGTCTGTGTCCAGAGGAAGAGGGGTGGGCTGTGCGGAGGAGAACTGAAGGCCGAACCTCTGAAGGACCTGGCGCACCAAGTGTGACTGAGTCAGGGTGATGGTGCGCGCGGCTCTGTCTCTGGAGATCTGCAAGCCAAGGTAACGGCGCAGCTCTCCAAGGTCAGTGCAGGTGTGTCTCTTCAGCAGCTCTGCCTTCACGGAGGCCAGTGCGTCCCTGTCAGCTGTGGCAAAGACCAGGTCGTCTACGTAGACAAGGATGTAGAACGGAGTCGGGCCAGCACGAACGAAGAGCGAGGGGTCTGCAGAGGACGGAAAGAACTGCAGGTCAGCAAGGGTAGCACGCAGCGTGTCGTGCCACTCACGAGGCGCCTGGCGCAGGCCGTAGACTGGGCGCCGCAGAAGCCACTGGGTCCCAGGGGGGAAAGTGCCAGTAAAGCCCTGAGGACGACGCAGGTAGACCTGCTCGTGAAGGCTGCCCTGAAGGAAGGCAGTGGAGAAGTCGAGGGAGTGAAGCTCGTAGTCACGCTGAGCCGCTACGTGTAACAGAACCCGAAGAGTAGTCATCTTCGGCGTAGGAGCGAAAGTCTGAAAGAAGTCCACCCCCTCGCGCTGACTGAAGCCTCTAGCCACGTAGCGCGCCTTGAACACAGGCGGCTCTCCAGGAGGGCGCTTCACCTTGAAGAGCCAACGGCCATCGACCACGTTCACCCCAGGTGGGGGAACTGCGTCGACGAAGGTGCCGGTGGATCTCCAAGATGCCATCTCCTGTTCCATGGCAGCTATCCACTGAGAGGCCCAGGGTCCCGAAACCGCCTCAGCGTAAGTACGAGGGGTCGGGATGTCGAAAGCGTCTGGGTCACCCTCAGGGACTAGCAGCATGGAACAGAGATGGGGAGCAGCCTCGGACAGGAAAGCAAGCTCAAACTGGCGGTCCTCCAGGACGTCACTGCCGAGGGCAGGAGCACCCCCGACAGACGGAGGACAGGCAGGGTCAGAGACAAGAGCGGTGGCGTAGTCAAGGCGGCGGGTAGAGGCGAAGTCAGCGACCGCAGCGACAAGGGCGTCAAGACTCGACACTGGAACAGACGGGTCGATAACGAGAGAGGCAAGGACCCGAGGAACAAGAGGGCGAGTGGCACGAAAGTAGTCAGACAGAGGAGGAGACGCAACGACAAGAGAGGACGGCGGAGGAGACGGGAGGAGGGGAGGACGAGACGCGTGGGACCGGAGCAACATAGGGTGAGAGCGCGGGACGGGGGAGACAGGACGAGCACGGGAGGGGCGGCGAGACCAGACGTGAGAGGGGGGCGTCGGGTCAGGAGACAGAGGAGGGGACACTGGTGGGGAACGAGGGGGAAAACGAGCCGGGGACGAGTCCGGCGGAGGGAACACGGGGCCGTAGACGGGAAGAGGAGGAGACGGCAGGAGAGGAACAGACACAGGGTCAGGGGACGGAAGGCCGAGCAGACGGAGGGCGGACACCGGCGGGGACTGCTGCTGCGGCAACACAACTCCAACGCCAGGGCCACAAGCTGCGCGACGGAGACCGCCCGAACCCTCCACACCGGCACCCCCAGAAGGGACACCCCCAGAGCCCGAAACCCCGCCAGCACCGGTACCACCCCCAGGCCCGCCGGGACAAGCCACGACAGGAGCCCCGGGACTAGTACCGACCTCAACGTCAGCACCCCCAGAGTCCACAAACAGCGGCAGCGACGACGGCGGCGGCGACGGCGGCGGCGGCTGCAGTGACGGCCGCGACGGCGGCGGCGGTGGAGACGACGACTGCAGCAGCTGCGGCGACGGCGGCTGCGGAGGCGGTGGAGGAGGAGACACCGGGGGAGGGACAGACGGCGAGGACTGCGCCGGGGGACTACCAGAGTCAGAAGACTCGTCGACCGGGACGACCGACGGGAGGGGGGTGACGTGAGACACACCAGAGGGGGCCGGACGGGGGGGCGGGGGGGGGGAGGGGCAGGGACCACCGGGGAAGGAGGGACCAGGAACAGGGGGGGAGTAACCGGGGGACCACGGTGAGGGAAGCGGCGGTAGAAGGAGACGGACTCGTCAAAGGTGACGTCGCGAGAGTGAAAGAAGCGGTGGGACGGCGGGTGGTAGAAGTGCCAGTCGGACGCGTCAAGGGGGAAACCGAGGAAGACGCAGGGGAGGGTGCGGGCAGTGAGCTTGTCCGTGCCAGAGGCACGAACGTGAGCAAGGCAGCCCCAGACGTGGAACGCAGACGCGTCACCAGGGGACCCGGTCCACAGAAGGGTCGGCGAAACCTGCGGCCGCTGGGGGTGCGGCCACAGGTTAAGCTGGTGAGCGGCGTAGCGCACGGCGAACGGCCACAGAAAATGGGGTGCACCGGCGTGGATCATGGAGGTGCGAGCCACCTCCATGACCAAACCGATGCGTCGCTCAGCGACCCCATTCTGCTGCGGGGAGTCCGGCAGGGTAAACGTCTGGGTGATGCCCTCTGCACGACAGAAGCGACCAAGGACACCTGAGGCAAACTCGCCACCCCGGTCGGAGTGGAGGCGCAAGGCAGGGAGACCGCGGTGGACACGAGCAGAGACAAGCCAGGGGATGAGAGCGTCAGGCACGTCGGCCTTCCGCTCCAGGGGAAAGACTGTGGTGTAGCGCGTGAAGTCGTCGACAAGCACTAGGAAGAAGCGCTCGCGACGCGGCCCATGGACCGGGGCTGGGCCCCAGACGTCCATGTGCAGAGTCTGCAGTGGTGCGGTGGTAGGGGGAAAAGAGGAGGAGTGAGGGGCGCGGCGGAGCCGGCCCTCGACACAAGGCGTGCACGGGGGGGCGGGGGAGGAGGGAAACTCGGGGAACGAACCGGGGAGACCAAGGACGAGACCGTGCTGGGACATGTGACGCAGACGCGGGAGGGCAGGGTGTTCAAGGCGGTGGTGCCAAAGGAGAGTCGGGTGAGTGAGGGACCGACAGGAGCACGCAGCAGCAACCTGGGTGGACGCAGCTACCTGGGGGGAAGACCCAGCCGAGGAAGTCGCGGTGTCAAGTGTGAACAGGCCGGACACCGGGTCCCGGGGGAAGGTGGTAAGGGGGGCACCAGTGGCGGCCTCGGTACAGACAGCATACCGCTCGTGACCAGGGAACGTAGTGGTGACGCCAAGGTCCTGGAGGCAGCCGACACCAACTAGGTTCCTGGAGAACGAGGGGATATGCAGACCTGTGAGCGAACCTGAAGGAACCGCCGGACAGGGAAGGGAGGTGGAACTGCGGGCAACGACGGGACCACCGGAGGGGTCAGCAAGAGTAACTGCGGCGGGAACAGGCAGCGGCGTCAGCGTCGTGGAGTCGCGGAAGAAACACCGGGAGGCGCCAGAGTCCAAGGTGAAGGAAAGCGCAGCAGTCGCGCAGGGCGGCAGTGAAGCGGTGGAAGCACCGAGGCTAAGCAAAGCAGAAGATCCTACGCCTGACGCAGCAGGGGAGTCTACGCTAGGCACAGCTACACTAGGCAACACGGGGTAATAAGAGGGAAGCACACTAGAGTCATCAGCATACATCACATGCAAGGCTGCTACAATGGCATCCATGTCCAAGTCAAAAATCCGAATGCTACGCCTAAGCAAGCTGTGCCAGTCCGGGAGGTCGGGTGCCGGGCCAAAGCGCTGACGGAACAGGTCGTCCAGACGACGAAAACAGCGAGGAGTGGAATGACCGATCTTACCGCAAACGAAGCCGCGGCGAGGACCGGTCTGGATCTGGTACTGACAGGGCCCGCCTCCAGAACCACCACCCGGTGCACCACCACGCGCACGACCACCACCAGCTCCAGGCCACCCAGGCAGGAGAGCACTCGCCTGCCTCGTCTGCGGCGGCTGCTGCGGCTGCTGCGAAGGCTGCGGCTGCGGCGACTGCTGCTGCTGCAACTGTGGAGGCAGCGGGGCAGCTGGACCGGGCAGGGTCCCCACGTCCGCACCGGCACCGGACGACCCGACTCCACCACTACCCCCACCCGCACCCCCGCCGCCGCCGCCGCTCCCAACCTTGGGGCGGCGGCCCTTCCCCGAGCGGGACTGCACTGCAGCAGCAGTCTCAGCCACAGCGACAGAGCCGTCGGAGAAGGTACACTGAGCAGGGGCACAACCCTGAAAGATAGGGACCGGTACTGTACCGCTCGCCTGGGCTATGGAGCGGTGACGAGTCTCTATGACAGTCAGGGTGTCAACAAAGTCGGTGAGGGTGAGAGCAGCGGGGTGGATGCTAAGGAACTGGTCGCGGGCGGCGGCAAGGCGGTCAGGGAGGCGGGTGGCAAGGAGGTAGAGGGTAGAGGTCATGGGAGGCTGGTGGACTCTAAGCTGTGCATCAGTGCAGGCAGCGCGCCAGGTCTCATCTATCGAGCGCAGGTGGGCAGCGAGGTCAGAGACAGTGGGGAAAGACGCAAGGTCAGGAAAGAGCAGGGGGAGGATCAGGCGACCCACTGAGGCAGCAGGAGGGGTAGAATAGTGCTTGATGACAGCATCGAGGTAGGCCTGGGCGGTAGTAAGGGTTCTAAAGCGAGGGCGCTCAGGGGGGGGGAGGGCATTGCTAATGGCGAGCTGAGCAAGGGCATCGCGGGAAAGCCAGACAGAGCGGGCAAGGGAAGCGGCTGCAGTGGACTCGTGCTCAGCGGGCGTGGGATCAGCGGGCAGCACAGCAGGGGGGTCAGGGCAGGGGAGCATACCGTCTAGGTGGTCAGAAAGCGGGTGGCCGTCCTGCCGCTGACCAGTGAGGTGGCGGCGGAGGTCAGCCAACCACGCCTCGAACTCCAGAGGCTGACCCTCAGCATCAAAACGAAGCTCAGCGGCCATCAGGGGCAGTGTAGGATAGGGGAGTGCGGTGTAGTGCTGTGCAGTGCGGTGCAGGGCGGTGCAGTGCGGTGCAGTGCGATGCAGTGCGGTGCAGTGCGGTCCAGTGCGGTGCAGTGCGATGCAGTGCGGTGCAGTGCGGTCCAGTGCGGTGCAGTGCGGTGCAGTGCGGTCCAGTGAGGTGCAATGCGGTGCAAGGCGGGGAAGGGAAGTGCAGGAGGGTGCAAAGCGGTGCGAGGAAAGGGGGACAGTACCAGGAAGTATGTAGGGCCGGGGCAGGCGCGACGGGACCGGGCAGGCGCGACGGGGCCGGGCAGGCGCGACGGGGCCGGGCAGGCACGACGGGGCCGGGCAGGCGCGACGGGGCCGGGCAGGCACGACGGGGCCGGGCAGGCGCGACGGGGCCGGGCAGGCGCGACGGGGCCGGGCGGCTGCGACGGGGCCGGGCGGCAGCGACGAGGCCGGGCGGCTGCGACGGGGCCGGGCAGCTGCGACGGGGCCGGGCGGCTGCGACGGGGCCGAGCGGCTGCGACGGGGCCGGGCGGCAGCGACGAGGCCGGGCGGCTGCGACGGGGCCGGGCAGGACACAGCAGGGCCGGGCGAGGGCGACGGGGCCGGGCGGGCGTGACGGGGCCGGTTGGGTGCGACAGGGGCCGGGCGGCTGCGACAGGGGCCGGGCGGGCGCCACGGGGCCGAGCGGCTGCGACGGGGCCGAGCTGGGGCGACGGGGCCGAGCAGGTGCGACGGGGCCCAGGAGGGGCGCGACGGGGCCCAGGGGCGCTACGGGGCCCAGGGAGGAGCGCAGCAGGGCCCAGGAGGGGCGCTAAGGGGCCCAGGGAGGGGCGCGACGGGGGCCTGGGAGGGGCGCTACCAAGCCCAGGAGGGGCGCGACAAAGCCCAGAAGGGGCGCTACGAAGCCCTGGAAGGGGCGCGACGGGGCCTGGAGGGGCGCTACGAGGCCCTGGAAGGGGCGCGACGGGGCCTGGGAGGAGCGCGACGGGGCCTGGAAGGAGCGCGACGGGGCCTGAGAGGAGCGCGACGGGGCCTGAGAGGAGCGCGACAGGGCCCAGGAGGGGCGCTAAGGGGCGCGACGGGGCCCTGGAGGGGCGCTACGGGGCGCGACGGGGCCCTGGAGGGGCGCTACGGGGCCCAGGAGGGGCGCGACGGGGCCCTGGAGGGGCGCTACAGAGCCCAGGAGGGGCGCGACGGGGGCCTGGAGGGGCGTTACGAAGCCCTGGAAGGGGGGCGCGATGGGGCCTGGAGGGGCGCTACGAGGCCCTGGAAGGGGCGCGACGGGGCTAGGGGGGGGGGTCGCGACTGGGCTCAGGAGGGGCGAGGCTAGGCTAGGAGGGGCGAGGCTAGGCTAGGAGACGCGACGGGAGGAGCGGAAGCGGTAGGTGGGGGGGGGGGTCGAAACCTACGCGTGATACCATCTCAAACCTAGAAATTGAATTTAATGTAGAGTTAGAGAGTACATGCACATATACCTAAATGTTGTACCCTCTAGGAGGTTACCCTATACAGTCTATACAAACATGATCAATAAACATGTTTGACAGTTGGATGGTAGAAATAAGTTGCATACGATTCAAGTTATTATAATTTTTAACACACGTAGTGTTTTTCAAAAATTGTGTATTGTGAAAGCGAAGCTGATTGTACTGAAGCGTTGGGCATCGTCGAAGCGCGCTACTCGCCCTTCTCCAACTACATATACGTGGGTTGGAGCTCATTTACCTCCACCCACGTCTCTCATTTTTCAAACGGCTCAGTCAACCTTCCCACCCACCCCCCCCCTCTAGACAACCGCCCATCTCCAATGGACAGCCGGTCACTTGAACGGGAGCACACAACTAGGATCATGATGCGTGTATGTTTAGATTCTTATAAGCTAGTAAGCGACTATTGTACCATGGCACGTGAAATGAGAACGATGCCTATTGCAAAGGACAAGAAAGCAAGCTTTCTCAATTCTATGTCCGTTGCATGTTGGGGGAGTAATCTTCCTCGTCGTGACTTATTAGATAACTTGAATGACATTCAGGTGGCATGCGGGATTATATGCTCCCCTCACTCCCCAAATACCCATCCCATGTTGACAAGCTTACCGTACTGTTCATAAGGCTTGAAGACATTTCTATTTTTGAATGAGCCGCCATCAACCAAACACTCTTTCACAGCACTGCCAGAACCATTGGCAGCAGTAACGCAGCAGCAACAGAAAACACTTCCGAAAGCACGCGATTGGAGTTCTTCCCACCAGACGACCCAGATGGGGAGCTCCCGCTGCTGCTGCCGCTGCTGCTGCTGCTCGAATCCACAGCACCATTCGAGCCGCCATTGCTGCTGCTGCTCGAATTCACAGCACCACTCGAGCCCCCATTGCTGCTGCCGGCCGAATTCACAGCATCACTCGAGTCGCCTGCGCTGCCGCTAGCGCTACCGGCGTCAGGAATGCAATCCGTTGGAGATGCGATACCATCCACCAGCTTGCTGCTACTGGTGCCACCAGCAGCAGCACCACCGCCACCGCTGCTGCTGTTGCTGCTGCATCTGAACTGGTTGCACTGCTTGTCAGTGACCGTCCTATTGATATACTTCTTCATATCGGGATACTCGGTGAAATTCATAACCTTAGCGGGGCACTTCTCAACCGGTACATCGAGTGGGTCACAGCAGAAGGGAATGGCGGGGACCTTCTTTGGCCCGTTGTAACACTGTGTGGCGTCGGTGCCGTCGGGTGTTACAGCTACAGTGAAGTTGTAGACGCCGAAAGCGGTGCCGACCTTGCCGAAAAGATCCTCCATGAAGCGTTCGGCTGATGGGAAAAACTTGTCCAGTGTGGCGATTCCTGGCACTGTAAGCGGGGACACGAAAGGGAGAAGGGGGAGAGGTGAGGAAAGGAGAGAGCGGCTCAAGTTGTATGCTCGCGGTCCCAAAACGATCCTTCATGAAGCGTTCTGCTGATGGGAAAAACTATTCCGGCGTGGCGATTCCTGGCACTGTGCAGTGGGAGAGGGTAAGGAGGAGGGGGAGGGGGTGATTGGATGGCAAAGTTATTGATAAATTCCTCCTTAAATCGCTCTGCTGTAGGGAAGAACCTGCCGAGTGTGGCAACACCAGGCAGTGCGTAGTGGGAGGGATTAAGGGATAGGGAGAGAGATTGGATGGAGGCTCTTTCCAAAAAAGTATCTTCCACGAAGGGAGGGATAGGGAGGGAGATTGAATGGCTCTGCTGACGGGAAGAACCTGCCGAGCGTGGCCACTCCAGGTACTGCATGAGGAGGGAGGGGGAGGAAGAGCGATTGGGAAGAGGTTAAGATAACGATGTAGCGATGACAACCTACCTTCTCCTTGGATTGGCCGGATGATGCATTTGGACGTAACGATGACAAACAGGTGCTTTGAGGAAGATTCTGATGTCAAAATCCGTCAGAATAGTTGTGATGTCAAAATCCGTCAGAACAGTTGTGATGTCAAAATCCGTCAGAACAGTTGTGATGTCAAAATCCGTCAGAATAGTTGCGATGTCAAAATCCGTCAGAATAGTTGTGATTTCAAAATCCATCAGAATAATTGTGATGTCAATCCGTCAGGATGACACACACATGAAGGAAGAAAGGGTGATACACATTCCTGAAAGCATTATGCTATGCGGCCTTTGGTATTCCGAGTGCTGCAGGAAAATTGTTACACAAGTGACAAGGGTGGGTGAGGCTGCGCGAGAGATCCCCTTGGAGGCTGGTGCACGGTCTAGGAGGAGGAGGCGTGCGTGGCAGGCCGCGCCTCATAGGTGACCCAGCACAGAAGTCACCTCAATAAAAGGGTGCACTAACATGAAAGCCCCTTGCAGGTCTGGTAGACGGCCTGGGAAAAGGCGTTCCTCACCTGCATCACGTGTTTCCAGGTGGTCGCGCACAGAAGTTACCCTAAAACAAAAGGTGCACTTACATGACAAACCCTTGCACGTCTGGTAGACTGTCTGGGAGAAGGTGTTGCAGACCTGCATGACGCGATTCCCGTCGATCAGCTTGAAATAGCTGCCGGAATCTGGAGTCCAGATGGGTTCACAAAGGGAGCGCACAGCGGAAGGGGGAGTGTGGGGAAAGAGGAAATGATCGAGCGATGGAGAGAGCGAGGTATTCAGGACGGAAGAAAGCCCTTTTATAGAAGGCCTGACTTGTGTGTAGATTTCCACTTATTTAAAACATCTTTCTGGTATTATTATTTTCCAAAGGTTATTTGCTCACACGGACCGCTTACTGCTTCAAACGCGCACACCCTATCCGCTGTGCCAGCTGTGTCCGCCGTGTCATTCTGGGCGCACAGCAGAAACGTTTGGTGTTTGTGTGACATTGTAATGAGGTGACTCGACTCAAATATCGACTCATCGCTCACTCACTCTCCTTCTCACTCTCCTTCTCACTCTCCTTCTCACTCTCCTTCTCACTCTCCTTCTCACTCTCCTTCTCACTCTCCTTCTCACTCTCCTTCTCACTCTCCTTCTCACTCTCCTTCTCACTCTCCTTCTCACTCTCCTTCTCACTCTCCTTCTCACTCTCCTTCTCACTCTCCTTCTCACTCTCCCTCTCACTCTCCTTCTCACTCTCCTTCTCACTCTCCTTCTCACTCTCCGTCTCACTCTCCGTCTCACTCTCCTCACTCTCCTCACTCTTCTCACTCTCCTTCTCACTCTCCTTCTCACTCTCCTTCTCACTCTCCTTCTCACTCTCCTTCTCACTCTCCTTCTCACTCTCCTTCTCACTCTCTTTCTCACTCTCTTTCTCACTCTCCGTCTCACTCTCCGTCTCACTCTCCGTCTCACTCTCCGTCTCACTCTCCGTCTCACTCTCCGTCTCGCTCTCCGTATCACTCTCCTCACTCTCCTCACTCTTCTCACTCTCCTTCTCACTCCTCTAATGCGCCTCAAACTGGCCCGTGCTTGCCAAATGACTCACCCTGGGAGCGTCTCCCACTCACCCGGGTTGCATCCCGTGGCGCACACGACCTGCTCCAGAAGAATCTGGCACTGCTGGAACTCGCTGAACTGCGCGCACACCTGCGGAGAGGCGCGGGAAGGTGGGGAGGGGGAGAGGGAGGGGAGGGCGGGAAAGGGGGGGAAGGGGGAGAGAAAGAAGGTAAGTCAAACTGGCACTGCTGGGACTCGCTGAACTGCGCGCACACCTGTGGGAGGGGAGGAGTGATGGAAGGGAGAACAGTGGGGGAAGGGAGCAGAACGGTTCTTGAGTCCCCAAAATCGAAGGAAGGGCTGGCACTGCTGGGAGTCGCCGAACGCACGCCTGGGGAAGGGGGGGAAAGGGCGGGGGAGGGTGGGGGAAGAGAGGGTGAAAGCCTCAGAAATCAGCGGAGGAACCGGCACTGTTGGAACACACCGAACTGCGCGCACACCTGGCGGGGAGGTGGATTGGGGGAAGTGGGGGAATGGGGAAGAGGTGGGCAAGGGGGGGGGGGGGGGGAGAGAGAGGCTAAGACTAACTGGCACCGCTCGAGCCCGCTGAAATGCGCGCACACCTGGGCGAAGAGGGGGGAGGAAGGAGGCGACGGGACGGAGAGGCGGAGAGAGGTCGAATGAGAGGGAGTGTCGGAAGGGGGGTTGGAGGGGGGGGAGAAGCGCTGCTCGTGAGATAGATTGCGTTTCTGTAATGAAACTTATCATCATGACCTGCTGTTGAGCTGTACTCTCTCAACTTGTTGCTGTACTTGCGAAAGGTGATGAGATAAACAGTTGAGCAACGACGCGGGTACAGCAACAGTTGTTTCGGAAACTTTTCCGCATCACCTTTCGCAAGTATAAGAACAGTAACCCCTTCTCATGATGATCCCTGCTCGCGTTACACCTGGCGGAAAACTTTTTGGTGCAATCAAACCACAGTCGGTTGTCACGCACCGCGGCGCGCCTTTTGTTCCCCCCGTCGCGTCCACCGCAAGTTCGCCACGAATTGCCGCAATTCGCTACCAGCCTCCAACTCTCGCGGCCGGCTCTCCACGTATAAGACCATCACTCCCTATCGCGTACCATCATATTGACGTTGGTGAATTTGTCGCCGAGCCCCGCGGCAATCTGGTTCAGTATAACGCGTCCATCCGTGGATGCCTCCACTAACGCGTACTTCTGGTCGTCGCAGTCGGAGCAGCACGTCCACTCCGCCGCGTCCAGGCACCTCGTTACAGTCACATTCGGCCGCGCGGGCGGCAGGCCCGTGTACCAGCACGCGGGGAAGTCGCTCTGCTTCGCCGCGGAAACCGGCGCGACCAGCGCCGCGAAAGCCGCGACGAGAAACAATGCGAGTATCATGCGGCTCGCAGCGCGAAGGGGAGCGCCGTGGCGGGTCATGGCGACAACTGCAAGAAAAAAAGCGCAGCGCTACTAGCACCTTTTGTAGTAATAGTTGCGTCTCTGATGAAGATTGAACGCGGAGATTTCTCGCCTAAGTTGTACAGCTGAAACGGGGAGCTTGATAAACGAATAAGTCGTGCACGCCCGAGGCTCCGACTTCGAGGACCGGAGACGGGCTAATATTCTAAGAAGCGACGGACAGACGGTTGCTGACTGCGAGGCAAGGCTAGTGTGGGAGTTATAACCGTCTGCGCTGCGCACTACACTCAGCCGGCGCGAGAAGCGGAGTCGTGCTACAACTGTCCGGTGGGCCCTGTTGGGCTCCGTGCGGCGCAGAATGCGCGCTAGAAAGACGGGATGAATGGCGCAAAATGTGCCTTTCTCACATCCCCCGCTCTCAGCTCAGGAGAACATGTGAGGATGTATAAGGGCGTGTCCAGCCGTACGTTTGATTGCGGTTGGGTGAGGTGCCTCACGGATCAGAAGGATCAATAACGAATCTAAACTGGTTGGGTATGGTTGACAAAAAACGTACGCGCTGGACACGCCCTAAAGGATATAGGATATTCACACAATCCCCTGCCTGAGTCAGTCCGAATCGCCCCTCCCCGCCCATATTCCTGTCCCAATCCATGCGATGCGATTCGCAAACAGGGTGTTCCAATGTCAGGCATTTTTTGCTCTGCAGCACCCACTGCCGTGGGACCACTAGAAACTTTCATCGGGGACTAGTTCGGTGGGGGAGTGGGGAATTGGGGGGAGGTTGGGGCACACGAGGGCGTGATGGGGGGAAAGGGGGAGCGGGAGAAGGGTGATTGGGTTGGGAGGGAGGTGCGAGGGGTTTGGGGAAGAAGGACTTTCATTGGCTGAACGAATGACGGAGGGCGACGAGCCACTCTAGATGGTAGCCAATAAGAGGCTGTGGACGTGGGCGACGAGCCACTCTAGATGGTAGCCAGTAGGCACGATGCGAATGGCAGCAATTCCGAATCGCTGTCATTCGCTTAGTGCGCAGTTGGCGGTGAGCTGCTGCAGTTTGGCCCACGATGGGGGGAAGACCAATGAGTACATTGACGTAATTGAGACGGAACGGAAACGGAAAGTGACGGATCGCCACACGTAAACCTTCCACGTCTGTGGAGCCAGAACGAATCGCATGTACTATGGACTCGACGAAACCACATCGAGGTCGTTAGCTTCGGCGGGCAGGTTACCCATTTCGCGCCAACCAGACCAAGTTCAGTTTCTCCCTTCCGCATGGTTCTGGCCTGGCAGGCGGTTTTGTTTTGAGCAAGACCTGGTCAAGACCTGAGCAAGACCTGGTCAAGCCCTGAGCAAGACCTGGTTTGAGCAAGGCCGGGCCTGAGCAACGCTTCGTGCCTTCGACTCCAAACCGCGCACACACTTGCTTTGTACCAGACCAAGTGTACCAAACAAACAAAACCACCACCTAGCGGGGCCGAGCCAGGGTGACCACGCCGAGCCTGTCTACTTGGCTCGTGTCATTCAAGGCTCGATGACGTGGAACAAGGTCTCAGCAGCAGCACACGGACCTGGTCCGGGCAAGATCAGGTCCGGGCCAAACCAAACCTTGATGAAGGAGACTCCAGAGAGTGGCAACTTGGAGGCGGAAAATGTTTGAGTCCGAAATTCACAACGCGAATTGTAGTTGAAACAGAACAGAACAAAACAGGATGGAATGGAATCCCAAGAAGCTGAGTGAAGTGAACGCAAGCGAGCGCACTCAGTCCTGCTTCCACCCTCAGGAAATCTGTCGGCGGCGGGCAAAGCTGTTAGTCTGATGACGTCTATCACGGTGATGTTCTCACCTCTACCAGCTCAGGCGTAAGTGACGGGTGACCTAACGACTGCTAGACTGTTAACATAGCATGTTAATTTTCGCCTGGCGATTAGTAGCTAGCTCATTCCGCATGGACGGAAAATCGGCGGAAAACGGCAGAGGATTTATCGACGCGGCGCGAATAGGTCATCCGTTTCTTCTGGTGCTGAACGTGCTCCTGCTGCTGCTAGTAGCGGTCGAAGTATGGCCGCGACTCACGGGCGACGGACCGACCTGGGGAACGCGTAGCGCGTGGGGATTGCAGCAGCCAATAGAAGCGCTGCTGAGTTCGCCGGGCTCGTCGATAAGATCGAAAGGGCATCACGGCAGCAGCAGGTTTGTGACAACGAGTGCCCTGACCTTGTGTTAGTAATTTCGTTTTTTTAGTTGACTTAAAGCCAATAGAAGCGCTGCTTAGTTCGCCGCGATCGTCGATTCGACAGCAGCAGGTTGTGGCAATGAATGCTCCGACCTTCCCACTCAACTAAGGAATATGCGCCGTAACATGCGCCGCAATATGCGATGTCCTCCAAGCCGCACATCTGACCTTCTCGCTGCTGTTTTCTTCCGAGTACCTCAATTGCAGTTGGTTCTCCAAAAAAATCAAAGACCAGCTGCTTCGCCCTACCGCGTCCGTCTTCTGTCTTGCCAATTGGGCCTGCCAATGTGAAAGTCCTTGACAGTTGATAGTAGTGTATACTGAAGCAGACAGATAGCTGGACTAGCTTGGCGAATTCTACGAGGGTAATCCCAGTATGGCGCCAGCTCTACCGGCGGTGCCCCTCAGATTAGTGGTCTGCTCGCTGTGCCCCTACCGGCCGTGTCCTTTCGCATAGCTGTTGCAAGCCGCTTTCCCCACGCTCTATTGTGCGCATTCCGCCCCAACACGCGCAATGCTCCCCGTGTTTTCATTCCGTCCGCACGTGCGAATTCCGCCCCCACATGCGCAATCCCCCCCCCGTGTGCGCATTCCGTCCGCATGTGCTCATTCCGCCCCCACATGCGCAACTCCTCCCGTATGCGCATCCCGCTTCAAATTAAACAGCCCCTTCCATTGTCCAAATGATAGCCACTCACCCATCATAACCACACACTTCACTCCTGAGAACCGAACCCTATTCTAGCCTGCCCACTCATCCGACCTCCGTCCCCATTTCCTCTCCCTTCACTCCTGTCTCCCTGTCCTAACACCCTGTCTCCCTTCCTCGATCCGCTTCCTCCACGATTCCTCCCTCCCCTCCTTTGCCGCCTCCTCCGCATCCTCCCTTCCTCTTCTGTTGACAGTGGCGCCTCGCGTGGTGCATCAGCGTTTGGAGAAGTCTCAAAGCCCTCCCCGCTCCTCCCTTCCTCTCGTGTCTCTCACCCCGCCGACTCTTTCTGTGTTGGCAGTGGCGCCTCGCGTGCTGCATCAGACGGCGCACAAAGTCCATCCGATGCCGCCCTTGGCCCATCCGATGCCGCATTGTATCACATTTGCTGGTCTTCAGGTACGCCCTCCAGCTGTTGCCAGGTTGTCAGGTACGCCCTCCAGCTGTTGCCAGGTTGTCAGGTACGCCCTCCAGCTGTTGCCAGTTTGTCAGGTACGCCCTCCAGCTGTTGCCAGGTTGTCAGGTACGCCCTCCAGCTGTTGCCAGATTGTCAGGTACGCCCTCCAGCTGTTGCCAGGCTGTTGCCAGGTTGTCAGGTACGCCCTCCCTCTCGCGCCAGGTAGCGTGTATGAAGTGTATTTAGGAGTCATCTCAAAGCTTTTCAGCAGAAACCGTTGAATTGTGCATGCATTCTCTGTACGAGGTCACGCCTGCCTCTGAGTCGACTCAAAAGCAGACGCGTCAAAAGCTGGTTTTCAGCAAAATGCTTTGAGCATTCTCTGTACGAGGTCACGTCTGCCAGCTTTCAAGATTGTGCTTTCCTTAGAGTGCCCGCCTCTGTGCTTTCCTTAGAGTGCCCGCCTCTGTGCGTGCTTGACTACCTTCGTTCCTTGCTTGCTTGCTAGCTTGTTTTGTTTGCCTGTCTCGTTATGTGTCCTTGAGGGCAGTGCGAGGGGCAGAGAGAGGGAGAAGCAAGAGACCAGCAAACACCTATCCCGTGTGCCGACTGTTGAGTCGACTCAAATGCCTGTCTCGTTGCGTTCCCTTGGGGGCAGAGCGAGGAGCAGAGCGAGGAACAGAGACAGGCAGAAGTAAGAGACTGACAAGCACAGCTCCCGTGTGCCCCAATCCCTCTCAGACCCTGTGGTCAACAGCAGTACATAAGGGGCAGCAGCAGTACATAAGGGGCAGCAGCAGCAGCAGCAAGGGGGTGCTGCCTTGGGGCAGACACGGTGAGAAGCAAGCGACCAGCAGACACCTCTCCCGTGTGCCCCAATCCCTCACAGAGCCCATGGTCTGGTCAGCAGCAGCAGCAGCAAGGGCGTTCTGCCTTGGGGCAGAGCAGCGACAGGGAGAAGCAAGAGACGAGCAAGCAGCACTCCCGTGTGCCCCCAATCCCTCACACAGAGCCCATGGTCTGGTCAACAGCAGACTTTTGAGGCGCCTCAAAAGTCGCCCCCAATTCCTCACAGAGCCCATGGTCTGGTCAGCAGCAGCAGCACACCAGCAGCAAGGGGGTTCTGTCCTGGGGCAGTGCGAGGGGCAGAGGCAGTGAGCAGCGAGGAACTACCAGAACCCACTCCCTTGTGCCACCCCCATGCTCCCCCAAACCTCACAGAACCCCTGGTCAACAGCAGTACACCGGCAGCAGCAGCAGAGGGGGTGGTGGTGAGTGGTAGAGGGTGCAGTGAGTGCGTGCGGGGGGATCTGTGCAGCATGCACGTGTGGGTGAGGCCGCCTGCCCAATGGGTGCTTCCTTGGAGGGGCGTTGCGAAGGGCGGGGAGAATGAGAGCGGCCGGGATAGTGAGAGCGGCAGGGAGAATGAGAAGGGAAGTGAGAGCGAGAGCACGGACAACAACAGCAGGGAGGGAGAGGCGGGGAGGAGCATGAGTGATGAGAGCAGCGAGGCGGGCAGTGAGGGACATGAGAGCAGCGGCAGCAGTGACAACAGTAGCAGCAGCACCTTTACCAGCAGCAGTGGGAACGACAGTAGCAGCAGCAGCAGCAGCAGCAGCAGCAGCAAGCACAGCTGGTGGAAGAAGGACGTGACTCTCTCCCTGCAGGGCCCGGCTCTGGGGTACGGCGAGGTGCAGTGCCTTGACCCCCCGGCCTGCTCGCACCTGCTCGTCTCCTACCGACTATGGGACGTGGGGAATTACAGGTGCGTTGAGACAGCAGCACAGCAAAGAATAGCACCTGACTCTCTCCCTGCAGGGCCCGGCTCTGCGGCACGGGGAGGTGCAGTGCTTGGACCCCCCTGCCTGCTCGCATTTGCGCGTCTCCTACCGCCTGTGGGACGTGGGGAATCACAGGTACGCGCGACGCGCACAGGCAATCGTGGGGTGTGACGTGGCAATCGTTGGATGTGACGTGGCAATCGTGGGATGTGACGCGGCAATCGTGGGACGTTACGTGGCAATTGTAGGTACAGCAACAGAAGGACCTGACTCTCTCGCTGCAGGGCTGCGCTTGGACTCCCCGGCCTGCTCGCACCTCCTCGCCTCCTACCGTCTGTGGGACACCAGCTGGGGCAGCTAGCCACAGGTGAGGCCGCGGCACCAGACTGTTGTCTCATGCCGGGTCCCTGGCTTGCAAGAGCACACAAGGCGAAGAAAGACCGGACATGGCGACATGCAGCGCCGGGACCACCTCTCTCCCTGCAGCGCCTGGACCACCTCTCTCCCTGCAGCGCCTGGACCACCTCTCTCCCTGCAGCGCCTGGAGCAGCGCCTGCACTGCCTGGACCACCTCTCTCCCTGCTGCGCTCCTCCCTCCCCTCCCCTATGCGTTTCGCCCCCTTGCTTCATCCCTCAACCCACCCCAATCACCAGGACCACTCTCCACGTGGGCTGTGCCAATCTCAACTTCTCTCAACTTCTCTGTGCCAATCACCAGGGCCACTCTCCACGTGGGCTGTGTTCCAGGCAGTGCAGCGCCGGGACCACCTCTCTCCCTGCAGCGCCTGGACCACCTCTCTCCCTGCAGCGCCTGGAGCAGCGCCTGCAGCGCCTGCACTGCCTGGACCACCTCTCTCCCTGCTGCGCTCCTCCCTCCCCTCCCCTATGCGTTTCGCCCCCTTGCTTCATCCCTCAACCCACCCCAATCACCAGGGCCACTCTGCACGTGGGCTGCTCCAATCGCAACTTCTCCCCTTGGCGGCAGCAGATACGTGGTGCTTCTTGCTGACGGCTCCTATCTAACGCTCTGCCCTGCTTTCCCTTTTCCTGCCTCACCCTACACTCCCCCCCCCCCCCTCTCTCCCCTCCCCCCGCCTCCTCCCAAACGCCAGAGCCACTCTCCACGTGGGCTGCTCCAATCTCAACTTCTCTCCTGCCTTCGCCACCCATTTCAAGTCCACCTATCGCCATGACCTTGCCACGTGGACCCTCTCCATTCGCTGGCCGGAGCAGTCGGCTTCCGAGAAGCTTCCTGCCACTGCTGACGGTGTTACCGCTGCTCCTGCTCCTGCCGCTCCTGCTGCTGCTGCTGCTGCTGCTGCTGCTGCAGCTGCTGCTGCTGCGGCTGGTGCTCCTGCTGCTCGTGGTGATGGCGATTCTGGTAGCGATGGGGGTGCTGATGCTGCTGCTGTGGCTGATGCTGCTGCTGTGGCTGATGCTGCTGCTGCGGTTGATGCTGCTGCTGCTGCTGATGATGACAGTGCTGGCCGCTCAAAATCCGAAGATAGGGTCCTTCTGGATGACGTGGCAGCAGCTGGTGCTAGTGATGTGGCGGTTCGGGAAGGCAATAATCAGGCGTCAACTGCCACCTCCCCAGATACCACCTTCCCAGATACTGCCTCTTCAGATACCACCTCCTCCAACAAGCTAGCCTCCCCCTGCACACGCTCCTCCGTCCCTGGTCGGTGGAAGCAGGTGCACACCGGCAAGTACACGTGAGTGAATCTACCCAGTGTGTCTCTGTGCCCTAGCCATGCGCCCTAGCCGTGTGCCCTTGCTGTGTTTGCTATGTGCCATGTGCCCTCTGTGGTAGTTAACCAGCAAGCTAGCCTCTCCGTGTGCACGCTCCTCCATCCCTGGGCGTTGGAAGCACAGGTACACACTGGCAAGTACACGCAAGTGACTCCACCCAGGGTGACTACCTAGTGTGAAGTAGACAGGTGCGACTCAAACAGGAGTGATCCTAAACGAAAGTCCGTCATGATTCACGCGCTCCTTCCTGTCTGGTCGGTGGAAGCAGGCGCACACCGGCAAGTACACATGAGTCGCCTTGTGTGAATCTAACCAGTGTGACGCAAACGAGTGTGACTCAAACATCCAAAAATTAAGTCTTGTCGTACTTCACACACCTGCCTGTTCCAGGCTGGTGGAAGGAGGCATGCGGGCAGCGCATGGGTGAGGGCAACGCATGGGTGAGGGCAGCGCGGCCAGTCCTTGTGACTTGCCCTCACCCTGCCGTGACTCAAGCAGTGTGACACGAGGCAGTGTGAATTACACTCAAGCGACCTTCACCAGTGTGACTCAAACAGGTGTGATTCTGCATAGTGGGAGGACTGGCACCAGCGAGTGCTGGCGGCTCACCTGCACTTCCTGCTGGCTCCTGCCCTATCTCACTCCTCTCCCTACTCCTCCCCCCCCCTCCTGACCCCTTCCCACCCCCCCTAACCCCTCTCCCGACTACAGTTGGGCTTTCTTCCCCTGTGCGCCATCGGAAGCCCCTCCCAACCACTGGATAGAAAACTTCACAAGATTGGGCATTCGTGAGATCAGCGTAGTGGGGGACTCGCACCAGAGAGGCTTGTCGGCTCACCTGCACTTCCTTCTGTCAGGGGAGGCGGACAAGCGGATACGCAAGGGGAACTAGCTTTCGACCTCCTCCCTCTCCGCCCAGTTCCCCCCTTTTCTCTCCCCTGCACCCCCCCGCCGTTGTTCCAGCTGGGCCTTCTTCCCCTGTGCGCCAGCGGAGATGCCTCCCAGCCGGTGGATACACAAGCTTGCAGAAAAGGGCATTCGTGAGATCAACATAGTGGGGGACTCGCACCAGGGAGTTCTATCGGCTCACCTGCACTTTCTGCTGCCTCCCTCTCTGTGTCACTTCTCCCCCTTCTCTTCTCCCCTTCTCTTTCCACTCCAGCTGGGCGTTCTTCCCCTGTGCACCAGCAGAGACGCCTCCCAGCCGGTGGATACACATGCTTGCAGAAAAGGGCATTCGTGAGATCAACATAGTGGGGGACTCTCACCAGAGAGTCTTGGCGGCTCACCTGCACTTCCTGCTGTCAGGGGAGGCGGACAAGAGGATAAGCAAGGGGCACTCGGACTGCTCCTCTGAATCTCAACCGCGCACTTGTTCCCGCTCCCTCCTCCCCCATTCCTCCCCCATCCATATCCAGCTGGGCTTTATTCCCCTGTGCGCCAGCGGAAACCGCTCCCAACCGTTGGATAGAAAGGCTGGCACAGAAGGGAATCAAAGAGATCAACATAGTGGGGGACTCGCACCAGCGGGTCCTATCGGCCCACCTGCACTTCCTGCTGTCAGGGGAGGCGGACAAGAGGATAAGGAAGGGGCACTCGGACTTCAGCCTTGAGTCGAGGAACGAGCGGGATGAGACGCTCAGGATCAACTTCTACTGGGTGGATGGCATCTACCGCAACGAAGAGTTCGGGTGCAGGTGGGTGGTTCTGGGTGGTGTGGTATGGGATGCATGCAGGTCCCGCTGCACTAGGGACTCCGGGATTGGAATCGAGGCGGAACGAGAGTATGAGGGTTAACTTCTACTGGGTGGATGGCATCTACCGTTACGAGGAAACCACCTTCTATTGGGTGGATGGCATCTACCGCAATGAGCAGTTTGGGTGCATGTGGGTGGCGTTGGTGCGTGTGTGTGCGTGCGCAGGCGCGCGTTTATGTGTGCGTGCGTGTGCGCGTGCGTGCGTGAGTGCGTGTGTGTGTGCGTGCGTGCTTCCCTGAGTGTGTGCATGTGTGCGTGAGTGCGGGGGTGTGCGTGGGCGTGCGTGCATCTGTGTGTGTGGTGTGGATGCCAGTGTGCTCCAGTCATGCTGTCGCAACCTTTCTCCCTGTTTCCGGCCTACCCCTCCCCCTTCCCAAACCCCTTCCCCAACCCTCAGCCATCGGGGTGTGTACACCCATCGCAACACTACATTTCCAGACGATATATCAACAACAGCTGACGTCACCATTCTAGAAGCGGGCTACTGGGCAAATAAACGCTGCTTAGAGCCAGTCCAAGCGATGCGAGCCCACCTCCCAGAGTATCTCAACTGGGGAGTGCAGTTCGCCGCCCGGACCGGCAAGCCGATAGTACTGCGCACGGCTCCTCCGGTGCCTAATGGGGGCGACCACTGCTCTCGCTCCGTGGGGCCGGGGGCATTTGTTGGGCCGGCGACGAATTTGGCACTTATGGAGTTAAATCGGTTGATGCGGCAGCTGGCAGCAGGTGGTAACAGAGTTGACAGTAAAGGTGGTGAGAAGCATGAAGATGGCAATAATAAAGGTGATGATGACGAAGGTGGCATTCTAGAAGGTGGTACCGGTAATAGCGAAACAGGTTATAGAGAAGCAGACTCCAAACCAGCTCAAGCATGGGATGAAGCGTCAATATCGAGGGCGTTTACTGTAGATGGGAAGCGGGTCGCATCGTCCGTCCCAGTGTTTGATTCGTGGAAGATCGAGGCGCCTCGGTACATGGACGTGTGTCCGAAGAAGGACCACCACTATTCGTGTTACAAGGAGTTCCCCGATAAACATCCCGAGATCCGAGGGCCCGTGGGAGAGGCGGTAGCCCGTTCATTGGTACACTTCCTGCTCCACGAGCTATAAGGTCATCATAGAGGTTTGTTTATTCTAATCATATGTATGTTATGTTGCCATGTGCAACAATGCTTGTATCATATGCCTAAACAAATATTACATTCAAAAGAAAATCCATCAGCTGAAGACTTTCAAGATCCCCAGTACTGAGTACAAACGTTAACAGCAGCTGGTGGTCCACTGCATGTAGGTACTACCTGACCTGACCTGACCCGTTATTATGGCTTCCACGTGGCCAATCACAGCGCAGCTTCGGCAACCGCCAGATCATCAAGGATCTTCTCTCTGACGTCAGCAGGGAGCTTGGCATTGACTCCACTGCGCATGTAGAAGCGGGAGAGTGTTCTGAGAACGGTGTCGAGAGACGAGGTGATGGTCTGGTATGGTGGGAGGAAGGGAGGAGGGAGAAACGGTGCATTGAGGCGAGGGGCAAGGCGACTCCGAAGCAGGAGAGCGTTCTGAGAATGGTGTCTAGGGACGAGGTGATGGTCTGTCGTGGTGGGGGGAAAGGGCGCAGAGAGGTGTGGGGGGGGGGGGGAGGAGTGAGGCAGCTTGGCATTGACCCCACTGCGAATGCAGGAGCGGGAGAGCATTCTGCGAATGGTGTCGAGTGAGGAGATGGTCTGTGGGGAGGAAAGGGAGGAGGGAGAAAGGGCGCAGTGAGGAGGGGTGGAGGGGGATGAAGTGAAGCAGCTTGGCATGGCATTGACTCCATTGCGTGTGTCGAAGCGGGAGAACGTTCTGAGAACGGTGTCCAAGTCATAAGTCGACTCGAACGTCATAAGTCGACTCAAACGTCACGAGTCGACTCAGAAACGGCAAGGCGTTCTGAGAACGGCGTCAGGGACGAGGTGATGGTCTAATCCAGGGGTAAAGCGAGGGGGGGGGGAGGGAGGGGAGGTGGGGGGAGGAGGAGGGGGAAGGAGGGCGGGGAAGGAGAGGGAGGGGGGGGGGTTGACAAGAGGGGTGGTTGGCGACACGGGACAAGTGGGCGAGAATGGGCTCCAGGGAACGGGAAAAGTGGGAACGGGACAGGTGGGAACGAGAGCTGACCTTTGAGTCAGCTAAAAAAAAGGTGACTTCTGAGGCGCCTCAGATTTTCCTCCTGGACCCCAATGAATGAACCCGCTCCCTCGCACCTCCATGTCTTCTGGAGCTAGTTTTGAGAGTGGGCGTCATTCTGTCTTGCGGCACCTCAAAGCTAGACTCCATGTCTTATGGCGCCTCAAAGCTAGACTCCATGTCTTATGGCGCCTCAAAGCTAGACTCCATGTCTTGAGGCGCCTCAAAGCTAGACTCCATGTCTTGAGGCGCCTCAAAGCTAGACTCCATGTCTTGAGGCGCCTCAAAGCTAGACTCCATGTCTTGAGGCGCCTCAAAGCTAGACTCCATGTCTTGAGGCGCCTCAAAGCTAGACTCCATGTCTTGAGGCGCCTCAAAGCTAGACTCCATGTCTTGAGGCGCCTCAAAGCTAGACTCCATGTCTTGAGGCGCCTCAAAGCTAGACTCCATGTCTTGAGGCGCCTCAAAGCTAGACTCCATGTCGTCTGGAGCTTTCCCCTCCATTCGCCCAGGAATCCCCTTATCGCGCTCTCTTCCTTTCGTTACCCCACTCTCCCTCCTCTCACCTCAGTATTTGCTGGCGCTTCCGCCCCCCCACTCGCCCAAGCACGCTTTCCCCCTCCCCCCCCCTCCCCCCTCCTCCCCCCCCCAACCCTTCCCTTGGTCTCACCTCTGTTCCTGGCGGCGCTGTCCCCCGCCACTCCCCCAGGTATCCCCTTATCGCGGTCTTAGCCACCTCCGCCTTGCGCCTGAATCCTCCCCTGTCCCCCTACCGCGCGCCGAGCGCGTCTCTCAGGCTATCAACCAGGCCCGTCACGCTCCTAACATACGCCTTCTGAGCCCTCCCTCTCACTCCCCCTTTCCCCCCCCTTCTGTCCCCCTCCTTTGCGGCTACCGCGTATCCTTTCCCCCTGCTCTCACCTCGGTATCTGGCGGCGCTTTCCCCCGCCACTCCCCCAGGTATCCCCGGATCGCGGTCTTAGCCACCTCCGCCTTGCGCCGGAACTCCCCCCTGTCCCCCTCCTCCGCGCCGAGCGCGTCCCGCAGGCTGTCAACCAGCCCCGTCACGCTCCGAACATACGCCTTAGGGAGCCGCCGCCCGCTCGCTGTAGTCTCCTCCGAGTCGAAGGCGGATAGCACCCCTTTCAGTAAGTCGCTTCCCGCGCTGGTTTCCGCCGTAGCGGTTTCAGCGGCAGCGTGAGCGGCGGGGGAGAGGGAGGGTAGCGGGAGGTACGGAGAGAGGGTGACGGAAGCTAGCGCGAGGATTCCGCCCGCGAGCGCGGATCGTCTGGTGAGGGCTTGGGGGGAATCGGCGGAAAGGGAAGCGGCGGAAGGAACAGCGGAGAGGGGCGTGGCGGAAGTGGAGGGGCTTGCGGCCGCTATTGACGTGGCGGAGGGTTGGTTTTCCCCCTGCGCTGATGCGCGGATAGGCGCAATAGCGGAAATGCGGCTGCGCGTAGACCCATTGGCGGGAGATGCACGCGCAACGAGGGCCTGGGGAAAGTTCCGCGCTGGGAAGAAAGCGGAGGATGCGAGTGCAAGTGCGCGCGCGTCCATTGAGCTGTGCTTGTAACGAATAAGATAAGTGGCGCAAAGCGCGGACGAATAAGAGGCGACTGATGCGAAGTCGATTGGAAAATAGCCACCTAGATACTGCCCTTGGACTTGAAGAGCATTCCTGACACTTTGCCAGGGGCCCGCTGTCAACCACTGTTGCGCCAAATGCATTTCGTGTCAGGCGGTTCGATATCAGTGTTATTCGAAGCTCACGTCGCAAGGGGGATGCGACAGCATTCATGTCCAATATGCGAGATGTGCGAACGTGCTATGTTATCGTCGTCAGCAGGTTGGTGGTTTCGTAGAGGTAACAAACGCACCGCCAATTCTTTCGTGACATCTTAAGGACCAATGGGATTGGTTTAAAAGCGTCTTTCGTCGTTCTGGTAACCAGCACATAATTTCATCCGCGTCTAGCTCGAGAACGCAGAACAATCAAGTCTTAGGAGCGCTGAGAATGCGCTCAGGAAACTAAAAACCTTGAGATTCTCCCAAGTGGAGTAGGCAGAGCTCGTGAGAGGACCCTTACTCCTGAGAGCCATACTAAAACTAGCAGCGACCCATACTAGACCCTGGTTTCGACCCGTTCTCAGGATAAGACTGGGAAACTCCGTCCTTGAAGGTGGTATTAGCTAATTCGTTCTTATGGCGCGATTAATTCCGCATTCGGCACGCGCTCCGCAGATTACCGCGGCTTCGTTGCGAGACGTCTCGAGCCTCGGCGAAATACGCGTCTCGTTGCGTACGTAGCGCGCCGCGGACGTTGACCGGTTCAGATTCCCAGCAACGGCAGCAGCGACAGCGACCGCGACAACAACGGCACGAGCGGCACTCAACGTTGTTGATCGTCGGCCAGAGAGCGCAATGTTAAGCCGTCAACCCTCCCTAAGGCGCCAGACCGATAGACGGCGAGCGACGTTCGCCAATCCTCGCCTCGTGGTTACACCTTGTCCTTGGCAGTAAATCGTTGCCACTGCGTCCTCTCCTCGCATTCCCCCGTAGCCTCGTTCGCCTCGTTTCCTTCGGCGGCTTCCTCCCCGGACTACTCTTATCTTCGCCTTTCGACGCGCCTCAATAATAGATCCTTCGCCGTCTTCCCGGGACTCCCTCTATCGTGTCCTCCTACCCGCTATTGCGCCATGTGCGGCATCGCCCTCGTCGCCCAGCGACTGCGAGCCGGCGAGGATCGTCGCACAGGCAGTGGGTGCGACGCGCCGTGCGACTGCGAGCGACCTAGAGTAAGGCGATGGAGTGCGAGCAAGAGACCCAGTGCTGTGGTGAACCAGGGATTGACTGAGCCAGACATGCACTCCTCAAGATGCACTCCTCAAGATGCACCCCTCAAGTTGCACCCCTCAAGTTGCACCCCTCAAGATGCGCCCCTCAAGTTGCACCCCTCAAGATGCGCCCCTCAAGATGCGCCCCTCAAGATGCGGCCATAGTCATTGGTGACGGGGGGTAAAAGGGGAGGAAAGGTCTCGGGAAATGTGAGGGCTGAATCTAGAGTAGACTCCCAATGGTGGGTGGTGGTGGGGGTGGGGGTGGGGCGGCTCTATGCAATGCACAGACCCACACACTCTGTTCAGCTTAGTGCAATGCAATGGTATGCAATGGTATGCAATGGTATGCAATGGTATGCAATGGTATGCAATGGTATGCAATGGTATGCAATGGTATGCAATGGTGTGCAATGGTGTGCAATGGTGTGCAATGGTATGCAATGGTGTGCAATGGTATGCAATGGTATGCAATGGTATGCAATGGTATGCAATGGTATGCAATGGTGTGCAATGGTGTGCAATGGTGTGCAATGGTATGCAATGGTATGCAATGGTATGCAATGGTATGCAATGGTATGCAATGGTATGCAATGGTATGCAATGGTGTGCAATGGTGTGCAATGGTGTGCAATGGTATGCAATGGTATGCAATGGTATGCAATGGTATGCAATGGTATGCAATGGTATGCAATGGTGTGCAATGGTATGCAATGGTATGCAATGGTATGCAATGGTATGCAATGGTATGCAATGGTATGCAATGGTATGCAATGGTGTGCAATGGTATGCAATGGTATGCAATGGTGTGCAATGGTATGCAATGGTATGCAATGGTGTGCAATGGTATGCAATGGTGTGCAATGGTATGCAATGGTATGCAATGGTGTGCAATGGTATGCAATGGTGTGCAATGGTATGCAATGGTATGCAATGCAATACATAGCAATGCTATGCAGTACCCTGCAATGCGGCTTGTGGCATGCCACACACTCTGTTCTGCTGCGCCTGTGGTACATGCACAGCTCCAGCATAACAAGATGCTCCGAGCCTTTCTAGCCTGACTAAACCCTAAACCCTAAACCCTGAACCCTGAACCCTGAACCCCGAATCCAAACCTCTGAGTTTCTCTGCGCGCCTGTGCATGTATGCACTTCAGCAGTTGTAACCTTGACTGTACAAGTGTTGACGAATTAAAGCCTTGGCTGCATTCCTCTTGAGAAGCTAGAAAATTGCTTGCTGCTAAAGAAAACTTTTGCTCCTACGTTTCTTGCCTCTGTTTTTTTTTTTTCAATGTCACTGTAGCAGGCTCACTCCTGCCAATCAGGATGCGCCACGTGTAACCAAGACACGGCTCAAGAGCCCATCACCTCATCACCATCTCACAGCCAAACGGCCTCTGTGCTACAACCATCTCTGCTACAACAATCCGCAGCGCCTCACCTCGTGTGTGCCTGTATCGGGTCGCCTTCTATCGAGTCCCTCGCCGCCTCTCTCCACCGCAGAGGCCCCGACCGCTCCTCTGCTCTCTCCCTTCAGCTGCCTCCCCTGCAGGTGCAAGTCCCTTGTGTCATACCAGTCGCTGCCCCTCCTCTTGAACTGCCTTTTGAGTCAACCCAAAAAGCACCTGGTTTCTCACCTGCTTTCTCTCCTCAAGTGGGCTTGCCCGAGCAACATGAGCGAAATGTGGGCGCTGCAGCAGCTCACTCTCTACCAGAACAGCATTTACAGGATCGCTCGTTACAGGAACAACACTCGTTGTTGTTAGAAGAACGCAAGTTGCGAGAAAATCTTCCACTCCCCGTCACCCGCCTGTCGCTGCTGGGTGCCGTGCTGCAGGTGCGGGGAGAGGGAGAAGGGGTGTGTGGAGGGGTGGGAGAAGGAGGAGAGGAGGGGGGGGGAGAGGAGGGGAGAGGAGGGGAGGCGAAGGGGTGCAGGAGAATGCAGTGAGGAAGGAGGGTGGAACTGGGGAGGGTGGAACTGGGGAGGGTGGAACTGGGGAGCAAGCAGTATGTAGTGGAGAGAGGGGGGATGAGAGAGTGGGAGAGGGGGGGGAGGAGAGAGGAAGAGAGAGAGGTGTGGATAGAGGGGGAGAGGCAGGGGAGGTGACTCAACCGTTGATGGACCAACATGGCAATGTGCTTCTCTTCAATGGTACGTGTGCCATGCCATGCCATGCCATGCCATGCCTTGCCAAGCCTTGCCATGCCATGCCATGCCATGCCATGCCTTGCCATGCCATGCCTTGCCATGCCATGCCATGCCTTGCCATGCCATGCCATGCCATGCCATGCCTTGCCATGCCTTGTCGTCCCATCATGCCTGCATGTACGGCATGGTCACCATCCCAAGTCTTGTGTCCATGCCTTCCTGTCTCCCCCTTCCCCGGTTCCTTCAGCTTCCTTTCTTTTCCTTCTCCTCCCCTTCCCTTCCCACTCATCAGCCCCCCATATCTTTCTCCTCCCCATAACGGACAGGTGAAATCTTTGATGGGCTGCCCGGTCTCCAACCCAGTGAGAATGACTCCCTGGCCCTTCTCTCAGCCCTCTCCTCCTGCTGCCCCTGCTACCGCCCCTCCCCTCGCTCCCTTCGCTCCACCTCTCCCTCTCTCAACCCAAGCACCATCACAGCGACCACCAAGACTAGTGACGTCAGTATTACCACCACTGTTGGTAACAGCAGCAGCAGCAGCAGCAGCAGCAGCAGCAGCAGCAGCACTGGTAACAGCAATAGCCGCACCAGCGCTGGTAGTTGCAGCAGCAGCACCAGCACTGGTCGCAGCAGTAGCAGCAGTGCCACGCCTATTGACCCCCTCGCACACTCCCCTGCACTCCCCTCCTCCCCTCTCTCCGCCCGTCCCACCCCCCTCTGCGGCCACCCCCACTCCATCCCCCGTCTCCTCTCCTCCCTCCGCGGCCCCTTTGCCCTGGCCTACTGGCAGGCGACAGCTGGCGTGCTCTGGTTGGCCCGTGACTTCATGGGGCGGCGCAGTCTGCTGTTCCATGGGCCGTGCGATGGGGGTGATGGCAGCTGTGCTGGCTGCTGTGCTAGCTGTAGCAGCTGTAACAGCTGTAGCAGCTGTAGCAGCTGTCGCACCTGTGGCAGCTGTAGCAGCTGTCGCACCTGCGGCAGTAGTGGCAACAACAGTCACACCTCCCACAACAGCAGCAACAGCAGCGAAAGCAGCAGCAGCAGCAGCAGCAGTGGCAACTGTAGCAGCAGCAGGATAGGCACGAGCTCTAGTGTGAGCTCCACTGGCAGCAGCACCGTTTCCTGTAGAGAATGCAGTAACAGTAGCGGCAACACTAGAAGCAATGGCTTCAGTACCAGCACCAGCACAGGCAATGTCGCCACCACCACCTGCAGCTGCAGGGGGGAGGGAGCCGCAGAAGGGGGAGCGAAGGGGGCAGCTGCACCTTTGCTGTGGCGAAGCATCTTTGTTGTCAGCAGTGTGTGCCCCTCCGCTCTCTCTTCCTCTCTGCCCTCTGCTCTCCCCTCTTCTGCAGAGCCAGCAGAAGAGCTAGGAGAGGTGAGCAGAGGGAGGGGAGCAGCAGAAGGAGGAGCGAAGGGGGCAGCAGTAGTGGGAGGAGCGGAGAGAGTAGGGGAGAAATGCAGAGGGAGAACTGGAGGGAAGGTTGGAGAGAGAGCACAGGGGAAACTGGCAGGGGGAGCAGGTGAATCAAATCCGAAGCCGGCTCTTGAGCCAAACAGCTTGTCTGAGTTTGGATATTGGAAGGAGCTGCCCTGTGGGATCTACAGCACTCTTCTCTCGCCTGCTGCTGATCTCTCTAGTAACGGTGGGGCCGCAAAAAACAGGGGGGGGGTAGCAAGAGCGAGGGAGGGAGTGAGAGAAGGGGAGGATGAGTGGGAATGGAGGATGCACGAGTGGGAGGATGAAACTGTGCTGCGGCTGCTGACGTGGCAGCGACCAGCCACAGCTGACGGAGTGAACCAAGATGCTGAGCTGGCAGGAGATGGGGCTGAGCTGGCGAACTCCAACACTGAGCTGGCAGCAGGTGATGCTGACTCAGCAGCAGATGCTGTGCTGGCAGCGCTTGATAGGGCGGTGGGGATGCGAGTGCGGCACATTCGAGAGGGAAAGCACTCTGGGTCACGGAAGGAGCGGTTGAAGGAGCCACGGCTTCTGAAGCAGAGTCGAGAGGGGTTGGTGGCACCAGTGGCAGCGGCAGTGACAGTGCCAGTGGCAGGTGTAGTTGAGAAGAGGTACAAAGAAGTTGAGGTGGCACCTGTAGCTGTGCTGTTCTCAGGGGGGCTGGACTCCATGCTGCTGGCTGCTCTAGCTCATCGACACGTGTCCATTCATCGTAAGTGGTATTGGTGTCGTCGTGATTATTAATGAGAATATTGATACTACTATTTTGGTGTTTTCGAGCCAATTCGTCGCAAAACGATTGCTTATTCTCTTCTGCATGTTCATA